GTGACGTGAACGTGACTCTGAATTATTCTGCACGTACTCGTCGCCAGCAACGGACGTATAACGTGCAACGTACATTCGTGGATAATACAGCATAACTCCGTGGCTCGGCGCTCTCTTACGCTTTGCGCTTACGTCGTCATCATCGTCGTAGTCGTAGTCGTCGACGTAGTTGTTGCCGCATGCATTTTCACGTACGCTACGGCCGTGTAGCTGACTCGGTGTAGTTGTTGTTGTTGTTCGTGTTGTTATTCTTGCTGTTGTTGTTGTTGTTGTTAATATTGGTGTGTGGGTTGTTGCCTGTGCGTGCGTAATTGGCAGCCCATTTGTTTGCAAGCCACAACGCGTCGCGTTCTACGTGTATCCGTATCTGTATCTGTAGCTAACCGTAAGGTCCGAGTCGAACTCTAACCACTTCCATTGGAAGCTGGTGCTGCTGCTCTGCTGCTGCTGTTGCTGCTTCTGCTTCTGCCAAATGCAATTTCGTCAGCGACGTGCCAAACGCGTTTGACGTGCCAGCCAGCCCTGTTCGAAAAATTAACTGGACGCGCGTCGCGTACACAAAAACGTCGAACGCCCCGCATAGGATTCGATTGGCAACCCTAATTTGAATGCGCCGGCAGTCATTTTGTGCTCCTCTGCCGCCCCGGGTCCTCCTCGAACTGTTCCGTTGAACGCATCCGAAACGAACTAAATGGAATGAAGTGACTGACGTCGGGCTTTAGTTTCAAGAGCAGCATCAGTGAAGAAAAAATAACACACACAGTCCTTCAACTGAACATTCGACGTGCGTAGCGTTCGTCCCTGTCTGTCCCTGTCTGCCGTGTGCAAGTCGGTGTGTGCGGGTTGTGCTGTTGTTGTGGGAGATGGCGATATGTATTGAAAAGTGCCAAGGATAATTGAAGACAGCAAGCGACACGTACACGTGCAAATTGCCAAAACACACACACACGCATACGAGCATGTGCGAAAGGATGCGTTGACCCCAAAAAATTTCAAGCAAAAGTGTGCCACTAAAAAGCAACAACAAAAACCAGAAAAGCAAACAAGTCAAAGAAACCTAATTGGCCAGTGCCAAGGCCAAAGGTCAATCCAAGCTATCAAAATTATCAAAAGTCAACAAAAGTAAGAGAAAGTGCAATATTGAAATGTGTCAGTGCTAAGTGCCGCGTTTAGTGATATAGTCTAAAAAAAAAGAAGAGGAAGAAACACTGCAAATACTCCTCAAGATGTTGCCCTACCAGGCCGTGGCCATGGACTATGCCGGCTATCAGCGCCAGCCCACGCCGGGCCATCCCGGCAGCCACATGGCGACCATGGGCTCCCTGGGAATGCCCGCAGTGCCCTTCACGCATTCCTGGATGGTGCCCACACAGGACTTGTGCGCCATGCCGGCATACAACAAAATGCCCAATCAGCATCAGCCCGGCGGGCCGGGAATGCATTCACAGCAACAGCCCATCGAACCGGGGTTAGTTGATACTGGGTAAATAAATAGCAAAATCCGTCTTAATGTTAATTTCCAATTCAACCTCAATAACGCATTTCTGGGTAGTCTTTGCTTAAAAGGACAATTCTAAGACACTTGAGCGGGAAACAAAGTTTTTCTACTTTTCGAAAAACATAAAACAAGTGAATTATGTCTTAATTAAAGCCATAGTGCAATGCGATCACTCGATTTGTCCCCTTAAATCAGCTATAACATATACATACGTATGAAGCTAATTTCGTAACACTCGCTTGAAGAAATCTGGATTTATAAAGCAGTCCAATATATCTCATTCTCAATAGTGTTGTTGTTTTTTGTAAAGGTCCGAAAATAAAATGAACTAAATCTTTCAAATAAGAAACGACTGAAGCCAGTTAATGTTTTTTTAACAGCAGAACAATTTATACAAATATTTTAAAAATATACGGGTTTTTTACGTATTTTACGAATTGGCAGTCTACCTGCCCTCCAGCGGCGTTTGTCAAATGTTGTTGTTGGTTGTGCGTCAAAACAAAACAAGTTAAAACAGCAACAATAACTGATAAAGCCATAACGGTACTCTTCACAGCACATAAACAATGCCAATCTTATCCTTGTCGTTGACAGTTTTTTGTTTTCCTATCTTTCTTGCCGTTGTTTCCCATTTGTTGAGAGTAGATGAAGTGTTTTGAGGTCTCTTTGTTGAGCTCTTGATGGAGTGCTGGTCTGAACTTAAATGCGATTACTAAATAAAGAAGATAAAAAAACAGTGTTTTAATACACTGCCCCTAATCTTGCTAATCAGATTCTGAATCGAAACCGCACAGCCTTGTAATCGGCTTATGTAGGTTTCTTCTTTCGTATCAACGAACTTAATCGCAAGCCAATTCTTAATCTTTACCCAAATATTGGCAATTGAAACTAGCCAAGTGGAAAACGGCGAAGGGAATCAAGAAAGTTGCAGCTGTAAATTGTTACATCCCCTTGAACATTGGCCCTAATTGAGCCAAGAAGAAAAGGCATTACGGGAAGGTGACGAATTCCTATTGCGAAATTAAAAAACCGACGAATTCATTTGTCAATGCGACGCGACACCTTCACTTGGTCCTGCGAGACAAATGCTCTGCAAACTGTAACACGTTGTAAACATGCCCATCAATTGGCAGCTCCTTGGCGCCTGGCAATACAAATTCCATTATTGATAGCCGAAGATTGATGTTTTCGTCTTCCCGTGGTCTTCTCACAGACGGAATATTTAATGTGCCTTACGTGTGGCAAATGTGGCAGCACTAATTGGCTGCCAATTTCTTGGCAAATTAACTTTTTCTGCATGTCTCTGCGAGTCTCGCAACCATTACTTATGAGGAGGGTTGACCTGAAGACCTTACAGCTATAGTTACGGTTCTTTCTCGGGCGGGGTTTTTGAACTGATAGTCCGTTTATTTGCATAGTCCGGCTGAGCATTTATCACTTCTTCGATTTCAAAACACAACTTGCAAAATATAATTAAAAACTAGAGCCAAAAGCGAGCAAGTGAAACAACAACAAAATAAAAACATAATAATAATAAGAAATAAATTATGAGTAAACTGGCTTGGCCCGTGGCAGACGCATGTTGTACGGGTTTTGCTCTTTACGCCGGTTTCATTTTAATTATCAAAATATTTTTATGGACTCGGGCCGCAGATAGGCATCAGTGGAGCGCACAGCTTCACGGCAGAGTTCCAGAAACTGTCGCGAGCGCAGAAGCCGCGACTGGGAAATAAAGTCACACAAAACGAAGCTTGTGATGAGCGCATTTACAGATGCCAGAGCCATTATAATAATTTTAAAAGACAACAAAATGTAAACGAAAAGCCACAGCAACAACATTTGCGGTTTCGTTGGCTTAAGTCGAATCACTTGTGCTCTACATTAAGGTTGACGAGCGAGCACTTTTTTTCTGATAACCCAAATACAATTTATTCCTTTTTTCACTAATAAGAACATTTGAAAATGAAACACCTTTTCATCAATTTCGATGTCACTTTCAAAAAAACACAATACCTTTTCAAACTTTAAAATATTCTTAACAAGATTCTTAAACACCTATCTAAAACTATTTGTCTACTTCACAAAAGTCTTGCTTATATTTTTATACGAATTTTCCCATCTATAATTGAATTATTTCCACAAAACAGTATTTGAAATAATAGTCTTATGTTGGCAATTGTCCAAAAAGTATTGAAAGCATTAAAATATTTGAAAATATAATTTGAAATTTGAGCACGGCAGCGGGAGCTCTTGTATTTGAAGAACACGAATTATTTTTCCAGGAAATCGCCTTTTATATTGAAAATCTCATTTCATGAATCTGAGCATACCTTATAATGATTTCCAAATTAATCAAATTATTTCAGCAGCCAGTATATATAAAATCCATTTATAGTAGTCGAGAACAGAAACTTGAAAAGTTTACATAATTTTTGTAGCTTTATTTATGTGATATTTGAATTTGAAAAAACAAGACTCCATTCGTTGCATTTAAGGATTTTTCTTGTCGCTTATCTTTAATGACTCGCATACCACAGGTATGCCCTGCTCACTGAAATGTAGGTGATTTGGCCGCAAAAGTCAACGATGACAAGCAATGTAAATTATGAATGCTTTAAGCAACCGAGTTTTCTGGCGAAGATGGTCAGATGTGTGAACGAAGATAGCCAAGTTGGCGGCCAGCTTTGCTTTTAGCCGACTTTTGTGAATGGGTCTGAGGCTTCCTCAGCTCAGTTCGGCTCAGTTCAGCTCAGCTGAGGTTGCCCCAAACATCTGAAACGCATATGCAGAGTGCGTCGTGCATTAATGGAAATAAAGCTGTTGCGCGGCCAAAGATCAGTGCGGCGGCATCTGTGAAGCACAGGCCCTGGGATAAAAGCGGTGGCAGCCGCAACATGCATGAACGGGCCGTTAAGGGGACCGATGGAAGCTCGACTGTTGACAAACGACGCAGTTGTTAGTGTTGTTGTTGTTGTTGTTGTTGTTGGCTTGCATGTCTTGCAAACAACGAATAAAAACATCAAACTGTACAAAACCAGCTACGAAACACAATTTTTTCACGTGAGTGAGAAAATGCCCCGACAATGGAAAATCTGCAGAGGCTATTTTTCTAGCTGCTGGGAGATGAAAAAGTTTTGGAAACAATAAGCGTTCCACTCACTCAGTGTAGCTGTGTTGAAAGGACTGATAGATGGGGTGCAATTAGTCAGTCGGTGGTGCACAATGGACCAGACAGTGCTGACACCATTCCGTCACAGTCCCAGACAGCCAGTCGTACCCACACTATCTCACACGATCTCTCCGAAGGCAAACAAATTGTCATCCCCTTTCAACGACAGACAGACAGTTCGCACGACAGGTGAGAGCGACACGGCGATCGTGAGCACCTTCTAGCCAACGAGTCAGTCAGTCCACATCAGTCCACATCAGTCAATGTCTACTTAGTTATATGAATATTTATTGCAGTGGATTATTGTCACTAATATGGCCGTTTCCTTTTCAGTATCTTGGAGCTGCGCAAGGAGAAGTCACGAGATGCGGCGCGATCGCGTCGCGGCAAAGAGAACTACGAGTTCTACGAGCTAGCCAAGATGCTACCCCTGCCCGCAGCGATCACCAGCCAGCTGGACAAGGCCTCCATTATAAGACTGACCATAAGCTATTTGAAATTGAGAGACTTTTCGGGGCACGGTGATCCGCCATGGACGCGCGAGGCCTCCAGCAGCAGTAAGCTAAAAAGTGAGTAAAAACACCGAGAAAATTAATATTAAAAGGAAACAACTATTTTCAATTTGAAGTGAGGCCGCAACTTCTTAAAATACTAAGTAGTTTGCATTTTCGAAATCCAAGACTCACATTTCATTTATAACATATACATATAACATATATATATACATATAATTAATTAATTTCCCAAGTTGTAGCTCCGCTTTTAGCTAATCGTTGAAGGGAGTAAATTTAAAATGCTTATTGGCCAGCTCAAAACATAGGAAAGAAATTACCAAAACAACAATTAATAGTTAAAAAAAAGAAAAATATTAGGAGTGCATTGATAAATAGTAAAATTTTCACAAGAATATTTGTAATTAAAATACTTCCTATTCTCTAAGGTAGACGACTGTTTACAAATATGGCCCGCAATATTTTTACAACTTTTAAAATCTTTATTTATGCACATACATATGTATGCCAAAGCTTTTTCCAATCCTGGGAGCAGTTTGAAAAATCGTTCTGGAATATCTTTCAGTAGCTTCTTCGATTCAACTTGAATATTCTAAGTCGTGCTATTTCACTTTATCAAATAGCCAGAAATCACTCGCAGCGAAATCAGGTGAATTCCGTAGTATGTGTCTTCTTTTTGGCAAGTGCGGAGCTGCAGTCATTATTTGACTCTCTTATAATGATTATGACTGATCCATTAGAAATGCCGACAGCATCAGCAACATCTCTACTTTTCAATCGAAGCTTTTGAAGCACCACTTCTTTGATTTCCCTAACGTGTTGCTAAGATGTTGATGATCCTGACCCTCTTCAACGCTTTCTCGACCCTCTTTGAACATTTTATGTCATTCATAAACCTGTGTTTTGTACATAGCCTGTATATCGAAAGACTTTTGCAACTCTGTTAAAGTTTCGGCTGCTGAAACACAACATTTCATCGAACTTCCTTGTTAATTAATAGTATTAGACAAAATAATCGAAAGAATCACGTGTGAGGCCAACTTAAAAGATTTGTACTTTTCACAACACCCGATTCATTGCAGGGTCATATTTGTATATTTATACATCATACTTACATATGTATGTATATTCTTTCTCGTATAGTTTATGCTTGATTCCATTTCAGCAGCATTATTGTTAATTACTTCCTAGTGCAACAAGTGGACTTACCTATATGTTAAAGCACTATTCACTTTAAGAACTTTGTCGCTAAACAGAATTTCACATATGTACTATATATCAGTTAACAAGTTATATTAAAAATTCAGACAAAGAATTGCTATCAATAAAAGCAATTAATGACATTAAAGAAAAGAAATTATGCTAATGATAAATAATAAAAATCTAAATTAAATTTTGAATGTTCTTAATACTAAATAATTTATTAGATAGTTTTACAGACACAATTTCGCTGTAATCTAAAAAATATTTACAAAATTAGCATTACTAAGCCGACACGATAACAGGCGTGACATATATATTCATTTTATACTGTAAAACTATCTAATAAATTTAGATTTCTGGCTTAGACTACCTCTTCTTTTCTTTGAGTGTACAGTCTCATACAAAAAATTTCACCAGCTCATTTGCATACGCGCCTGGGCCCGTACAGCTGTACGGCTGTTCAGCTGCAGAGCGTGGGCCGCCATATTGATCGGCGGCCATTGTGGTCGACAGCGACAACAAGTGGCAGACGAGAAGCAGTAGACAGAAATAAACGGCGAGAATGAGCAATAAAAACCGAAAGCAGGAAACACATTTGCCTACATATTGTTTTTGTTTTTGCTGTCGACGACGCTACTAATGTCGACGGGCGGCTATGCCAGCTGCTGATCCATGGCTATGGACGCCATTTTGTGGCCAGCGCGCCAGTGAAATCAAAATTTGTCAACTTTTCTATGCCAAAAAAAATATGCGCGCGCACCTTAAAAATTGTTGCTCGTCAAGCGCAGTCAAACATTCAAAATTTATTGGCTGTTACTTTGTTATTTTTTTGGGCTTTTGGGTTTTGGTTCGGCGGCCTCGACGCTGCCTCAATTTGCATAAAATATCGCTATTAAGCACAATTTATTTTATTGCTGCGCATGCGCAGCCATTTTATTTATTTTCATTTATTTGGATTTCTCATTGAGCTGTGGTTGCTGCTGTTATTGTTGTTGTTGTAATTGTAGTTGTGGCGCACGCGTCACTGGAGCATTTTTGTTATAGTGTGTCATCGTGTCCATTGGAATTTCAGAAGGTTGGCCAATACCTTGACAACGCGCACAGGGGCCAACAACTCAATAAATCAAATGTTGTGAGCCAAACAAAAATAACAAACCTAAGCTCTGGCTGCCATGAAAGGTGACACTTCACTGTCTTCTATGAATGCAGAGTGCCAAGCGTTTAAAAGTAATTTGGCTTCGAAGAGGAATAAATCATATGAGCATTCTAGCCAATGAAATGTTTACCTTTGTTTACTTCTCTGAAATCAAAATAGTAAATATTTAATTCAGATGGCAACCTAGACAAAGACACATTACTTTCTTTCTCTTATCCCTCCATAACCTAAGAGTTCTCAATTTCTTCTGTCTTCCATATAATGATTTTATAATGATTTGTGGGGGTACTTTAAGACAGAAGAATTAGACTATTAGACAGAAAAAGATCTGGAGATATGAGTTGTGCTCGTGATAACAAGGATGTGTGATAATCTAGTTGTGTGTGTTCCTTCTTCTATTTATTATTCTTCAAATTTGTTTCAGAAAATATAAGCAATTGGTAATGTTATATTCAAGGTGAAATTTAGTTAAACATATTTGAATAATCCTAGAATCATCCTTGAATAATCAATCAATGTTTTTAATTTTGTGACTTAGAAAACAATGTTGTTTTGAGTTGAATTTGTAATTTTTGTTTGTTTGTGCATCTGCAGCTAATACGATAGCTTAGTCCTATATTTAATAGCCTTTGTTTTACAAATTGTTGGTGGGTTCATTAAATTTCGTGTTCAAACACAGCAGAGCACAGAAAACAAGATATGGCTTGTTCTGTTTCAAGAGACGAGCAGTGTATGTATACGAGTATATTATGAGATAAATTATTAGTTTTAAATTAACAATATCTTTCTCAGTATACTTGTATGTACATAAATATGTGCGTTTTCTACAAACGAATTCTAGTCCTCCGAGTATTTCTGATTGTTAACACTCATTGGCATTTTTTAATTCAATTATCAAACAAATATATTAAGCTTTAGTGGCCATATACAATATTGTTTTTGGGTAAAGTAGATTACAAGAACGTTTCATTGTTTCATTGTTATTGGTATTGTTACTATTAATCAAATAACAATAAGAAGTATAGGTAGGCGAACGCAGTTATAAATAAATAATATGACTGTAATATAGAAGAACAGCTAGTCTATACAAAAATGTAAGCCTGAATTACAAATCATATCTGATTTTTATATGCTACTCGTATGTATTCGTAGCCATTGACATAACTATGATTCACGCATAGAAACATCAATCGTCAACATATTTTCTAGCCCTGTTGAAGTGTAACTTTAAACTTTAACATTGAAATCCGTTTGTTGGAGTGCAAGTGGATTTTTAAACTTGTCGACGTCATGCTTCGCTGGCCAAGTCAAGGCATTGTCACGTCAAAAGAATCAAAAGCGGCTCGAAATGATGACGACGCCCGAAGTACTGGCAGTGAGGTCTCGAGGCATTCGCGGAGGCTTTTGGTGTTGAAAGTCAACAGCAAATGGCAAAACCTCAAACCCGAAGCGGCGAACCAAAGTTGAAAGCCAAAAATGTAGCCAAGGCAACGAGCACACACAGCACAGGGCACTAAAAAATAATCCAAAATCAATGGGGTGGAATGCATGAGGGGGCCTGCGAATTGGATTATTATGCGAAACTAAGCTCAAAATGAGCGTTGAGCCGCAGCAACAAGCTGCGGGCAATAAAAAGCACTTCAACTCGACCCCAAGCACAGCTAACAACAAAAAAAAGGCAGAAGCACTGAAAAAATATTATTGAACTGACACATAAAGAGAGCGAGGGGGCGGGGTGTGTGGCCGTGGGTCTATGGGCATCTATGATGGTCATTAAGGCCGCAGTTGGTGGAAGCCGAGCCACACACTCGTATGCATGCATGGCGGAAGCGGAAATTGTTTGCCAACTTAACGCTTAGTTTGACCACACAAACGCCCAGGAGCCACGAATCACTTGGGATTTGCCGGCGGAGAAGGGCGGGAGGGGTGCTCAGGGCCAAAGCAACAAAAACACGAACTATACGGATTGGATTGGATTGGACTGGACTGGAAGTTGAAGCGATTTGCACTTGTGCGAATTATGAGCGCCCCGCCCGGCCCCAGAATTGATGTTGGCTGGCAAGTGGCAAGCGGCAATGGTGGCAAGTGGGGTGGGTGGAGAGAGGGAGGTGGTGGGAGGAGAAGGTGGCCAGCCCGTGTGCCATAATCGTAAAATTCTATAATTGAATTAAATAAATATATGGTCGAATGGCAAACGCATCAGCTGGAAAAATATTGTCGAACATTGGACGGCTTTCGCTTGGACAGTGCTTATATTTATGACGATGCGGTTTTCTGTTTATGGAAAGGGCCTGGAAATAAATAAAACGCCCCACTGACCATATGGGCGCATAAATTGAATCATTTATGAGACGAGCAGCTCCAGGGGCCCAGCCCGAGAGAGCTAAAACAAATAACCACGACCAGTACCTGTAAAGAGAAATGTTTAGAAATGTTATTCTTATTCAACCCGACTATATCAAGAACTTAGTAACTACGAATTTTCAATAGAATATATCGAGGCAACCTGAAAGAAGCAGCACCTGACTGAGTCTTTTCGGCATATTTTATTGCTTATTTAATTATTATTGCATCTTTGTTTAATAAAACCCAATTAGTATTTATGTGGAAAGCATTTCAAAAAGAGATAAGATTAGGAAGGGATAATCAGCATACGAGCCGATAAAACAATAGTCGTCTATTCGGCTCTCTATTTCATTAACTACTCCACCCACAGTTTAAAATCATTCGTTTGAGGGTTTTTATATTAGTAAAGCTTTAGCCTGTTCAAGACTTGATTATGGCTAATGGCTAATAAATTTTCCCCCAACGGGTCAGTGATTCTTCACCTTTAGCTTTTAATTATATTTTAACTTTTATTATTTAAGTATTTTAATTTTTTAAATTTGTTTTCATTTATCTTTAATTGCTATATTTTCATCTCCACTTCTTTTCTGTTAGTGCTAATAACGTATCTGACTACTCTCTGCTGTGAATCGGGGCATAGTTGGCGGTTTGGCAAATAAAATTCTCCCACCGAATCGGATTCGTTATTAGATATTTTTTTTACTTTAATAGGCTTTTTCATTTCTTTATCGATTTTTTTTCTTTTTTTTGTAATAGCCAGCATGAAATAAATAAATAAACAATGTATAGTATACATAGATATTTTTTTATATTTAGAACGCTTCTATTTTCGCCCTACCTGCCATCATTTGGAGATCGTGTGAGGTTGATAAAACGTCGAATACAGAACAGACACAAAAGGATAACAGAACTTTTCAAATTATAAAAAAAATCTTTTTAAATTATGCTTCAGATTTCTTTCCTTCTTTCTTCGTTTCCAAATATTTCACATACCTATTAGAAAGGTTACAAAAAATTACCTTGGTGGGTCTTTTGCAGCAATACTATATATTACAAATTACGGAATATATTGGGTACTCCGATATTTGTCACATAATATCTGATATATTCTAATAGATATAAGTTGCTTAAAATATACTTAGTCTAGCAATAATGATTTGTACATTTTCGTAACTAATATTTGCTTAAGAAAAATAAAGTTGTAAAGAAGTTTCCTAATTTCCTAGAATACTCGTGGTGGAGTAGGATCAGCACCCTAAAATGCGAATTAGAAACTCCATTTTAAACTATAATGTAGATTTTAAGAATGTCTAGATATATACTGGCTTGAATGTAAGCCAGACTTTGCAATTGAAATGTGCACTCTTTAGAGGAATGCCCTCGCAAGCTCATACCCATATATATTTACTATTCACTTATTGCCTATCCCTTGACTAGTTTACTGAACACTCCATACTATCCATATTTACAGGCGCCGCCATTAGACGAAGTCCCGCCGTTGATTTGTTCGAGCAACATCAGGGCACCCACATACTGCAGGTAAGGTGCAACAAGCCCGCGAGTGTGTGAGGCATGTTGTGAATGTGTGGAATGGATGGCCATCTCCATATACGCAGATATATAAGTTATGCAAATTTCTAGACGCTCTTGTCCATTACCCCTTTCTTTGCAGTCTTTGGATGGCTTCGCATTGGCGGTTGCAGCGGATGGCCGCTTCCTGTATATATCGGAGACGGTGTCCATTTATCTGGGCTTGTCGCAGGTGGAAATGACGGGCAGCAGCATATTCGACTATATACACCAGGGCGACCATGCGGAAATTGCCGAGCAGCTGGGCCTGAGCCTGACCAGCGGTGGTGGTGGAGGCAGCGGTGGCAGTGGCCCCGCAGGCCTAGCCTCGCCCACATCGGGTGCTTCTGATGATGGCACCGGCACACACGGTACGAACAATCCTGACGGTGAGTTTAGTCCGAGTTGAGAAATCACCTGGGGGTTCGGGTGTTAGGGCACACGATGGCTAGTCTTTGGGTTAATAATGAAGACTCTTAGTTTTAACACTCATTGCTCTTCCTCTGTCTTTACAGTTGCAGCTCAAATGACGCAGGCCTCGACCAGTGGCTATAAGGGGTACGATCGATCCTTTTGCGTGCGCATGAAGTCAACGCTGACGAAGCGTGGCTGCCACTTCAAGTCCTCCGGCTATCGGGTGAGTACAGCTCTTGATATATCTAGCTATATGCGGTGCCGTGTAGAGTAGTGTAAATGCGACGTTTGTAGTGTCTCTTTGGTTCCGTTTGGTTTAATTGTCGTGTTGTTGTAGTGAGCCTCCTAACTTACTATTGCCTTGCTTATCCGGGGTAGACTAACCTGCGTTTTTGGTTCTTGCACAAAACGATTCGATTAGTTTTTGAAGCTAAGCATTAAGCATTATGTATTACCATCCCATCCACTGCTTATCTACAGGCCGGCGATGCAACGAGCAATTGCAACGGTAACAATGGTAAAAATGTTAAGAATCCGGGCTCAAACTATTCGGTACGTATCAATTGAAATCAGTAAGAAAAGGGCAATCATAAATAGTCCAAATTCAAAATTTAGTTTTATTATGATTTCGAACAGCACTCGAAGGTGAACTATTTCCATTTTTATTTTTCAATTTTGGCCACACTTTAAGTTCTATGTACAATTCGTTCGATTCAATGACCTAATGTAAGGCAAAGCAAAACTGATTTGATTGATCAGTATCGAATATAGCGTGGGCGTGGCCGAGAAGCCATCAAAGCTGATCGTCAGCAACGCGCTCATCATCAGCATCAGCGTGAAGTCCACCAGTCAGTGGTTGTCACTTGTCTGGCGAGAGCTTTCCAAGTGCCAATCACTCCCAAACATACATACATACATACGAGTATATATCTAGAACTGTTCTTAAGCTCACTTTGTAAAAACAGCACACGATTGTGTCTATCGCCAATATCGCTAACTGTGATCTGGGCCTGTTTGGAATTGTTGCAGGTCGTGCTGCTGCTCTGCAAACTGCGACCCCAGTACACCTTCTCGCACACTCGCAAGTCGCAGCCTCCACTCCTTGGCATGGTGGCTCTGGCCATTGCTCTACCGCCCCCCTCTGTGCACGAGATTCGGTTAGAGTGCGATATGTTCGTGACACGCGTGAATTTTGATTTGCGAGTGGCACACTGCGAACCAAGGTAAGAGCTAAGCCACCATTCCATTATCCACTTCTGCACATTTAGCTAACCACACACATTTGTAGAGTGTCCGATCTGCTTGACTACACCCCGGAGGATCTGGTCAACAAGAGTATATATGCTCTTTGCCACGCCGAGGACGCCAATCGACTGCGCAAGAGCCACACAGATCGTGAGTAAAGCGCGTAGACGCTCTTCACGTCACAATTGAATAACATTTGACCATCTTCTTCCGCAGTGATCGAGAAGGGACAAGTATTGACCGGCTATTATCGGCTGATGAACAAGAATGGCGGATACACGTGGCTCCAGACCTGCGCCACAGTCGTCTGTAGCACCAAGAACGCCGATGAGCAGAACATCATCTGTGTCAACTATGTCATCAGGTGAGTCTGGCAATAAAAACTGCTAAGCAAACAAAAACTAATTGCCCGACCGCTCACAGCAATCGCGAAAATGAGAATCTCATTTTGGACTGCTGCCAGCTGGAGCCCAGTGTGGACAGCATCAAGCACGAAGAGGGTCTAGGCAATGACAAGAGCAGTGGATCACCTGGTGGTGATGCAGCTGGCGACGGGAATACTCATCTCAGTGCCGGGGACATGAAATTAAGCTCACCCAAGACTGATGTCGATGGACATCCACATCGGGGTCGCGGCCGCAGCGCCAACTCGCACGGCAACGTCAACAACCTGGCGCTGATCAAGGACAGTCCCACGCCGCTGGGTGTGGAGGTGGACAGTGGCGGCAGTGTCTTGCCGACCACAGTGGCCACGCCTGTTCCTACGCCCACCCCCACTAGCAGCACTGCAAGCACGAGCAGCACAAGCACAAAGCGCAAGCGGAAGAGCAAAGCAGCTCAGCAGGCAGAGGAACAGGCAGAGGCAGCTGCTGCGGCGGCCAGCGCGGCAGAGCAGCAACCATTGCCCAAGCTACCTACTTTAGAGCGGGATCACACGCCACGCAGTCGTCTGCCCTCCATTGTGGATGAGCAGCAGCAGCAGCAGCAACAGCAGCAACAAGCAGCTGGGACGCCTCAGCAACATGCCGAGTCTGCTGTCAAGGATCTGGAGCACGCCATGTCCAAGCACCTGCCTTCGCCCGGCTCAGTTGCTGCTGCCGCCAACAACAATAACCAGCCCAGCACAGACTTCAGTGCCGATGCCCTGCTCAAGCAACAGCAACAGCAGCAGCAGCAACAGCACGACCCCAACGAGAAGAGCAGCACGATTCAATGGATCGGTGCGCCACAGTACCAACAGCCGGCCGCGATGCCAGCGACTGCACTTCTCCGCCAGCTGTACGCCAGTCGGGAGAGCGTCATCCGCGCCACGGCGCGTCAGACGCCAACGGGAGTGTTCTATGGCGAGCAGCAGAGTGGTCCGTTGCCCACACCTCCGGGCAGCGAGTCCTCCTACGAGAATCAATACCTGCAGCTGCACTCGGCCACCGCGCATCCAGGCACTCAGAAGAGTGGTCCCTCGGCCGACGCCTTCACCAATCTGGTGTCCACGTACGGGGGATATCACAGCTCTATCGACTACCACAATGCCATGACGCCGCCCAGTTCAGTCTCGCCCCGGGACAGCAACAACTCGGCCAAGGCGCCGACTCTGGGCTCGAACACTGGCTACGATTATGCTGATCCATTAAGAAGTCAATATGGCACACCTACGGGCAGTATTGTGGACAGTGGTGCGGGAGCACCTACCTCCCTGCCGCTGAAGCCGCAGGCCTATTCAGCAGCAGCTGCTGCCATGCATCCCCACGGCCATGCCACCACTACCACGGAGGGGGGTGTCACCTACAGTAATCTCGACCAGCCGCAGTACTTTGCACCCCACTCCAGCTTTCATCTGTACCACAAGGGCAGCGCTGCCAGCGGCTGGTACTCCACGCCCTCATAGGCCGATCAGCAACAGCAGCAGCCGTCGTCATCGCCGCTGCCGCTGCCGCTGCTCGACTGCCAAGAGCCGCCCGACTCCTTCTGTCGGCTGCCCATGTCAACGTTCACACCCACACCCATACCCATACCCATACCCATATCCACACCCACGCCAACGTTAACGCCAGCCCAAGGAGCGAAGCCTGTCCAGGAACGTTGGGATATTGCAGGGGCACTCGGCAAGGTGGCGCGAATGTTCTTCAACGTGAGCAGCGTCTAATGCCACAAATTGTTGCAGCCACAACGAAAGCAATTGAATGTCTGGCGCAGGGCATAATTGCTGTCATCATTTTCAGCATGCATTCAAAAATATAGCATTTAAATTTTAAAAAAATAATACTAAAATAAAAAACCGTAAGCTAAAATGTTAAAACATTCAATGTTGTTAAATATTTTTTAAGCTTGTAAATTATACGGAAAACAGATAAAGTATGCTAACAACTGAAATTAATATCGAAATACTCGGCGTATATGCAATTATTTAATAACAAAAAATATTTAGTTATACAAACATACTTATAAACATTACTTTTATTGCATAAGACTAGATAGTGTGCCAACGAAAAAAATTAAACATACGATAACAGTAGGAGTTTAAGTGCAAACGAAAACGAAAACAAAATCAAAATGCTTATTATTGGATATGCATTTCCATAAAGAACACTTGTTATTAATTATTTAAACTAATTGTACATTTTACATACTACATTGCGTAACATTAAATTACACTTATGAACATTTTTTACAACATATCAAATGCTTCCTCCGCTAGATTACGAGAATACGCCTAAAATACTTCGAATACATACTAATTAGCTCAAAGGTCTAGAATTATTACTTTTGTGTACTTGAAACCTATTTTTTTGTTCTTCAACTGAATCTTGAGAACGTTTCTTAGTTTAATCCTACATACTATATGTATGTACATTGTATATCTGTAAGAGTTCTGCTGATGCGTTTTGTGTTTTTGCTTATCTAAGGAATCTCTATATATGTATTTAAAAGCTCTATTCAATTTATAGCTAAAGTGTAATTACATTTTGTAAAAACAAATTTAACCAGTTTCCCATCAAATGCTTAAATATAAAACACTCTAAAAATTGCAATGAATGCAGACACAAAATATATACATACGAGTACATAGAACTTCGGTGGTGAATGTCTGCCGCATGGAATTATGAAATTTCATTGTAGCACCCACAAAGTTATTTAATTATATGAAATAAACTTAACTTAATGACTATAATTATAATGAGAAACAAATGGAATGTGTTTTCTTATACAAACCCAGCCCACCAAGCGCTCTCAAATGATATCGCATGCGGGTGAAATGCGAGTTTTAATCAGACAAAACGCTCGCAAACGGATCCGACCATGATAGCAATATAATTCATATGTCGTTCAGTTTGAAGCAGATAACGTAAAATTTATGATAGTGAAAAGAAATGGATTAGCGATGATTTTGAATGTCAAAATAGTCTCGCACAAGGATCGCAAGAAATACTTATGCATTATCTTTTTAGACATATATATAGTCGAAAACGTTTTCGAAACTCTGTCTAATTCTAGTTTGCCGGACTGGCTAATAAATCTTCCCCCACTGAGTCTAAGATTCCACTTTTTTGGGTTCTTTTTTTAAAAATCAGCTTTTAATTAATGCTAAGCTTCTCTCTGTTGTTTTCCTTTTTAAATTGGTAGATCTATTGGCGCCTCTGACCGCACTTGGCTGCGAGACGGAGCACAGCTAGCAGAAAGGCAAATAATATTCCCCCGTCGGGTTGGAGGCGTTTATTAGATATTATTGTATTCGGATCCTAATTAGGCTTTCCTAGCTTATAAGGGTTTTCTTAATATTTGGTTTGTGCAAAGTATGTAACATGCAGAAGAAAGCATCTTCGACCCCTTAAAGTATATTTATTCTGAATCAGCATGACGAGAAAGGACAAGTTTATTTTTTGGAATTGTTTTTAAAAAGGTCTTTTTTATACGGTTTTGGTTTAATGTGGTGTGAAAATTAAAAATTTTATGTGTATATGGTTACACGACATTAATCCATTTAGCACGATTCATCTTCAATGTCTTTTTTACACGACTGTTTTAGGAACCGATCTACCGTGCTAAAACAGAATTTGGTGTAAACGTGTTGTAGGATTTTGCTCCAAAAATAAGACTAGGTTGCTTTGCTTGAGAATAAACTAGTTGAAAATCGATGCAGCCACATTATTCTGTATGAACGCAAATATCTCGGAAACTATTATTGATAGAATAACCAAACTTGGTATTCATAATTCCCTAAGCCCTCGACGGGCTCCCGCAACTCTTGCAAATTTTTGTCCGCCCGAGGAGAGGGTCCGCTTCAGGGGATACTTAAATACTTTATACACCAATCAAATGCTTTAGAAAGTGTACGCCGAAGAGAGTATCTGGATAAGAGAGCTCTCCATTAAGGGAGTTTTCACTGTACTTAAATTTAAAGGTAACCTTGTTCTTTATTAGATAGTTTCTTCAAAATACGGCAAATAGGTATAGCCTGTTAAGAAAGAAAGCGTATTTATCTTCAGAAAGTAGTATAAGCAGGCTCTTTAAAAATCACTCATTTCAAAAAATTTCTTTACTTTTACTTTACAGTCAGACTAAAATTCTTGAACCACACAAGGGACTACAAAAGTATATACAAGTAAATAAATGTCCGCAATGTCCTCTGGATACTGTGGAAAGTTCTTCTACTGCACGCTGATGCTGTCGGTGATCGTTGCAAGGCCGCAGGTAAGCGTTAAGACGACTCTGGGTGTCCGTCATGGCACCCAGTTGATCGTGGACTTCCCGAATATTGGATGGTACGTGTTCGTGTCAGCACTTGCAACCGTTCTGGCGCTGTTGCCGACAACGAAAATCCCGCTGGCCTGTGCTGGTCGCCAGTTTCGACGACGGTACTACATCTATTTGGTATTGCCATGGGTGATGACATGCTGTGTGAAGTTCGCGGACAACCTAATTACCCAGATATCGGCACTATCGCATTCGCTGGGAAGCAATTACGCACAAGATATCGCCATAGGGATCGTCATCTACTGCATTATCTTTGGACTGGCGGTCGAAGTCATGCTGCACTGGTACGTGCTCTACCAACTTCAGAAGGATGGCATCTACACTATTGTTACAACGAAGCTCGAGGATCAATAAAGATTAGTTGAATGTTGCAGCACCAATGCGTGGCAATGTCCATTAAACTAGCCTTGGTCTTTCATTAACATAAAAGTCGCATAAAATACCAATTTGACGCATTTGTTGCGCCCATTCCCCCATCCTATATGCACATACATATACATATGTATTCCTACAACGACCCCATCCGTGTCTGACCATACATCGAAATTGTCGTGCGCTGTTCGGCCAAGGGTAGATGTCACATTTTTCTGATGGCTTTTTAAGCAAACCGATTGGCCACAGCGGTTGCAATTTGACCGCTGGCTGACATCTATTAATCATACTCAGAGAAATGCGAATACGGATTTATCTCAATTTATTGCGAGTTGCAAAACATAAAGAATTTTTAGTAACGTGGCGCCCAACGCAGGGCCAATAACCAAAGGTGAAATATACACGAGATGGGCGTGAAAATTGCTTCACTTTCCGCCCTTCTTTCCAGCTTTTTTTGCAGCTTTCTGTTTAGCTGCTTCCAGAGCCTTTTGCAGATCCTTTTGCTTCTGCTTGTGGGCCAAGTCCTGTTCGTCCATCTCCTTGGCTTCCTTTTTAGGCGTCTTTAATGGTTTTTTCTTACCGCCTTCGCGACTAGACATTTTTGTGAAAACCCAAAATATTTGTTGTTTGAGCCGATTCGAAATTATTTCGAAATTTGTGGTGTGTGGAATGTGAACATGGAATTGAAAGCCTACTGTTGTTTAAAAATGTTTTGAAATATTTTTAATTGATCCTCGCACGCCCAGAACTTCACCAACACATAAATTAAATTGCGCTGTATTTTATCACTTTTTTTCTTATGCAAAAGCACTTTTACACTCGTTTAAATCAATGAAAAGTCAATTGCAAAAGTCAATAACTTATGGTACTACTTGTATATATAGAAATACGCTGATAGAAACGTAATTAAATATAGCGCATATTTTTCGGTTTTCCGAAACTCATAGACATTTTCCAGAAACCTTGCTTCTAATATATGTAGACTGAAGAGTGGTAAGCCAACTTCAAAATCAAATTGGTTGTCAAAAGAATGATGCAAACATTAAAAGGGAATATTTACACCCGGTATTAGAATCTATGATTAACAAACCATTTTCCGAATGGTGTCTATTAAAAGGATTCAGTTTGTCAATTGAAATATTCAGTTCTTGGAAAGTGTCTGTCTTGGAGATGTAGAATCTAGTCGAATATGGATTTGGTATAAAAAACTAAAAACTACAGTGACATTCACTTGGATCACTTGGATTGAAGAAGTGCCCGCGTGACCACAAATTGCTTGTGAAGCGAACAGCACTTTGTGTGTCTAACATAGGTACGAGTATGTACACAGAAATTTACAATAAGCAGTCATCCTGCTTGATTTTTTGGCTTCATATTTACAATAATCTATAGACAATGCTTAAGTTGTTCACTCTCTGCATCCATCGAATATCTGCTCACCATCGGGCGGCATAAGCGCGTCTTGTAATCCGTTCAAATCTATATCAGACTGTCTTGTGATAGCGCTGGAATGTGCGAACAACAAGCTGCTTTTCACTTTGATCTTTGACGATGTTGTTACGGTCTGCGAGGAGTCACTGACAGGCGCTGCAACGTCCGAGCTAAGCGCCTCTTCAACTTGCCCAGCTAATGTTGTCTCGTGCTTGGCTTGGTGCACCTGCAGCAGTCCAGGATTGACGGTGCTGTAGGAGCATAAGGAACACTTGTGCAGAATCGTTGAAGCCAGCTCCGGGTGCTTCTGCTGTACGTGTATCTGAGAAACAAGTTTAGAAATATGTATGTAGTACCATTTCGCCAACTATTTACTTATGTTCGTTTTTTTCGATGAATATAGAATACAGATGAATAGTTGGACATTTATCCAATCCTGCATTTCAAACGATTTTTGACTACAGTTTATACTCTTAAAATTACTGCAGAATCTATCTCAACCTAAATATTATGCTGAGCCTCAAACGCAGCTTTTAATTCGGTGTAAAATGAAATTAATGTCATATATATATATATATATATGGATAAAGACATATATTCTTAATACGTCCAACATTTCACTGATGTTACAGAAAGCTATACTTTATAGTTAAGAAACGCACCCATTAGTTATTATAAACAAGTAGAGAAGCTATGGTCGGGTGTCCCAACATTGAAATACTCTGTACATATGTATGTGAAGAATAAATATGCGTGTCTATGCGTGTCCGGGGGAGAGGAGGAGGGAGGAAAATTCCAAAATACACATTTTCTGCGTATTTACATAAGTCTTCTGGAAATAATTTGTGTCCCTAGGTCTTCTTATTGCTTCCGAGATATAGCTGATTATACGAAGGGCGTTACGGAAAAGTGGGAAAAATCAAAAAAAAAAAAAACAAACTCGTGTAGCGTACACACATAAGGCGTCTTTGTGCGAAATTTGGTGTCTCCAGCTCTTATAGTCTCTGAGATCCAGGTGTTCATACGGACAGACAGACCGCCACATATAAAATGCTGTTTAGCTTTCGAAACAGATAAGATGTACAAAAATATGATGATTTTTCGTATGGCAACTATTGGATATTTAGTATCAGACAGATTGCATTCTTTTGCAGGAATGCTATTTCTTGGGTTTTCAAATACATTACTTTAATACTGCAAACGGAATTGAAGATCCAATATGATAATACATTAGAGTCTTTAAGTACCTATTTGTTAGGACATACAAATATTTTCTTCAAAAGACTGGATTGGTCATACTTGTAGACCTACCTGATAGGCAGTGCTCTGTATGGCTTTGTAGTCACAATGAGCACAGGTGTACATCTTCTGTTCCCTCTCTGCTTCTCCCAGCCGTTCGCGGTGCGTAGCACGGTGTCGTCTTAAGGCGTTGTGATCGTTGGTATCGTAGTCGCAGAACTCGCACTTCAAACGTTTGGTCGCCTGATGCGTCTGCATATGCAGCTTCAGACTGGACTTGGATGAGCACACACGATCACAAACATCACATTTGGCGTGATCGCTGCGTTGCTTGCAGAGGTGCTCGCGCAGCGTTTTCAGGTGCGTGAAGGCAGCACCACAGTCCTCGCAGCGATGAAGCGATGGAGTCGTTGAATCTGTCGCCGAGGAACCGCTGTTGACCGTTTTTCCCAGTCCCTGGGTACGATGTAGGCGCCGATGATTCTTCAATTGTTTGGTGTTCTTAAAAGCCTTGCCGCACTGCTCACACTTGTAGTTGCGTTCCTCCGAGTGAATTTTGGAATGTGTGTTAACCAGACGCGAGTAGATGGGCGTCTTGAACGTGCACAATGGGCAGCAATATAGCTCCATGTCGATTTGATGGGTCCGCCAGAGATGCGTGTGGAGAGAGTTCCAGTTGCTGAATTCGGTCGAGTGGCACTCCGGACAAACCATGGGCTGTGTGGAATTGACGGGACCGTTGTGGCATCGCCGATGATACTCGAGTGTGCCTGGCGATTTAAATCGAAAAACGCAGCCATTCACGGCACACTTCCCGCCAGTCTGTGTCTCTGTGGCGGCCACGGACTTGCGCGGTTTAGCATTGCCTGTGCGTTTGGCGCCATACGGACGTCCGCGCACAGAAGTGCCACCTGCGAGAAGTGGTGGATCGTTAGAATTAGCAGATTCCATAACTCCTGGTGTCGCTGTATTCATCAGATTATTGGCCACATATATGCGCCCCTGTTTCTCTCCGAGGGGAGTCTCGGTTTGCGCGGGTTTAGGGGCAGCACAAGGCACAAGCGGTGGCACAGGCAAGCTGGAAAGATTGGGCGGAGACGCCGAATCGATGGAACTCACACTGGTCGTACCAGTGACCGGCACAAGGGGTGGGACGTCTCCAATTTGTCCGCCTTGATTGCTAGCAGGCGCACCATCAGCGTTAGCAGAGCTTTCAGTTGGTGTTTTAGGCAGCACTCCATCAGCAGCTGGCCACTCATGCTTCATACTGCTCTCCACCAAATCCTGTGAGGATGGCACGTAGAGATGAGCAAAGTCATCAATTAAAATATCATCAATTTGCGTTAGAGTTTCCAGCTGCACTGTCTCCACATCGCTAATGATGCAATCTAGATCATCGCCCAAGTCATAGCCACCGTTGGTGGGCCAGCTGTTGCTTAACTGCGATCTAAAGTCAGTGATAGGCTGCGGTAGCTCCAATATGTGCTCAAGATTGGGTTCTATAAGATGCGCAACTTCGGTGCGGTTCATAAGATTGAGTTCGTCGACGGTGCGCAGGTGCAGGGTGCCACGTTGCTGATGATGATTGTCGTGGCGTTGCTGAAATTGAGGAGCCTTCAATATATCAACATTTTTTATGAAGATCTTCTGCTTCTGTGCTGTCGCATTGATTGGCAAAGCGGCCGATTCCTGCTGCAGTTGCAAAAAGTTATTCTGATTTCCGGATATGTCTGGCACCGTTTCCAAATCGGGCTTTGAGGCCATCTCGATAAGAGCGGCGTTTGACGTTGGGTTCGTTGACTCCGTAATTCCATCCGGCTCAAATTCGACGCCAAAGTCAAGGTCGAGTGCGCTGAGCCGCGCGCTGTCGACTGTAAAGTTTCCACCTGCGCTGAGGCTGCTGCTATTGCTACTGCTATTGGATGTGAAGGCGTCTACCGTGTTTCCACCACCGTTAAGTACAGAGTCAAAGGAAAAGGCTTCGCCACAGATGCTTGTCAATGGGGGAAGCGTTGATTCAAAGCTAGGCAGTGGGCCATTAGGGGTGAGGAGTTCTGAGCTGCTTTGGAAGGCGTCCGCTGGAGTAGACACCACATTGGCTGCACCATTGAAGTTCATGCCTGGCAGCAGCATGGGCTCCTTTAGTATATCCACATTTCTGATATATATCTTTGGCGGACGAGGTTTCTCCTGCTCAACACCGACCACTTGCACATCGAGGGGGTTTTCTTCCGGTATCAGCGGCAGATCCTGATCACCTCCGGATATTGGCAATTGAAATTGAAACGGCAGTAAAGAAGGTTCGCGTAATACATCGACGCTTTTGATCGAAATCTTTTGGTTTGAAATGCGGGACTCTATGGGGGCAGCAGGTCCATGTTTTTGTGCCGCCATTTGATCTTGTACGGTTGGACCTACAACGGCGAATATATCGATAATGTTGTTGTTGCAGCTGCTGTCATTATTTTCCCCAGAACATTCCAACTGAAGTGGCGGCATGTAATCTGCCAAAGGCTCACGAAGACAATTCACATTCTTAATAAATATGCGATTCTTTGGCTGCTGCTGCTTTTCTTGAGGTTGCTGCTGAACATTTGTGGCGGTGTCTGCATTTGATTTGCCCTCATTGTACGGATTTAGCGTTGTAATCTCATCAGCAGTCAGCATATGGTCCTCCATAAGATGCACGTTTAGCGCATCAACTTTGTAGAAAATGTTAGCGCAGCCTATGTGGGGCAAGACAGTAAGCCAATGCCATCGAAATCTAGCACTCACTCACCTGGGCACTGGAGGCGTTGTTGCTCATCAACACCAAAGCAATTCGCAATATGGGCCTGCATTTTTAGTTGGCACAAGCTCAGGAATGGACAACTTGAGCACTTGTGTATGGGTGGAATATCATGTCCTGTCGTCCTCGGCACAACATCAACATCAAGGGTACTATTCACCACCTCTTCATTGTTTTGCTTGCCCTCGGCACTGGAGTTACGTGTAGGCGGCGTGGGCGTGGCATTTGTGCGTTCCTTGCTGGCCTCCGCCTGCTCCGACTTGATTGGCTCTGCCTTAATCTCGGCTGCTTTCCGACGGAACACATTCCGGTAACTGTTCTGTGGCTGCGCCTGCTGCAGATCCGTTGTGTGTATTTGCACGAAAGGGATATTGGTGTAATTGGAAGTATCCGGCGTTGCTGACTGCACATTCGCATTGCCAATTGTCGATGCTGGGGCAATCGCTGTGTTAATCAGAAACGCCTGCTCATCTTCAAAGAAGCTGTAATTGCTGGTCAAATTGCTGAAATTATCGTGCTCCACGCTGTGAATGGGCGTGGATAGTTCGGGGTGCTGAAAAAAACTGTTAGATTTGCAAGTTCCTCATTGTAATATGTTCCAATGTCGCACCTGAAACGCAACACTGCCGTAAAAGCTTGAAGAAACTGCATCGTTCATCATTCGGTATGGTGAAGCCTATTCCTGCCTCCTGATATTTAGCATTACGACGACTTTTGTTCCAAAGAAAACCACTGATAAAATAACAGCTGATAATGAAATCAAAACAAAGCCAGCGTTGCAATCAATTCGAAACAGTGCATCCCTGGATTAAGGCGCACGAAAATACCAAAAAGGAGGTAGCCGTAAAATAGAATGAATCTGCCGAAATTTAACACAAAATAGGCGTATAATATGACAAATGGACTTTGTGAATTTATTATTGTCACGATATGCAACTGCCTTGTCAGTGCATAAAGGGTATGGTTTCCATCCCTGCGACTGCACATTAATCGACAACCTGGCTGGTTCTCTGAGTGACATCGCTAGAACGAAAAGGGATGTACATCGAAACAAAACAGAAGCGTTAATCCCAAACGAACAGTGATATTCGAGTATGTACATTAATGACAAGCTATACAACCAACTAAACAGTAGAATTTCCATATTACTGATAAGAGGCCGCCAAACAATTCCATAATACTCAGATCTTTGCTGTAACATGTTTTTCTCCTCCACCTAAAAAACAAAAATTCAAACTTAAAAGTTGGCAATATTATTTGTCAGACATCAGAATGGCTCCACACAATATACTTTTTGAAAATTAAAATATAAAAGCTATTAACGTGGAAGCTATCACTGCGTATCAATAGCGAAAAGTTTAAATTGTATAGTTTGGGTTATCAATTGTTTATCTATATATTTATATTTTAAAAGATTTAATATTGGGAAAACGCAAGCTGCAGAAATTCGCAAAAATAAAAATGCAAACAAAACTACAGAAGTTGCCTCTACAGGTTTCGATTTTTAGAATGTCAACTGGTTCAATAAATTCGTATGGAGAGGCATTCAAACAGATTGCTCGTTTGGAAAAATTTGATGATGATATATCGTTGCAACATTAGATCAATTTGGAAACATTTTTGAAAGTGTAAAATATGCACTTGTAATAATAATAAAATATGACCCCCATTAAATAATACATATGTATAGTACAAGTATGTATATTTTATTTAGAAAATTGTGCATAAAAATGAATTCATTTTACTCAATTTATTAGGCCGAGATCGCAAACCACCACAGTTTTATGAATTAAGTACTGAGTTCTTCGCATTATACCTGAGATGCACTCCTCAATAGATGGCAACAGATCACTCTTGTGATATCCTGATAGATCAAACCATTATATACGGTAAGAATTAATTACCGTGTTTTTTTCTTTTGTGCTATTCTTTATTTACCCTGTACCTGTAGGGTAAAAAGTGTATATTAGACTTGTGCAAAGTATGTAACAGGCAGAAGGAGCCATCTCCGACCCCATAAAGTATATATATTTTCTTGATCAGCATGACGACAGAAATCGATCTAGACATGTTTTAATTTTGTGTTTTTTCCTCCCCTACCCCCTCTACGTAAGTTTGTCTGGGTACAGGGTATTTCACTGTCGAGCTTGCTCGACTGTAGCGTTCTCTCTTGTTGCTTCTACTAGAGGCGCATATAGCTTAGTGACGGTAGTTTGTGTGGGTGGAGGGTATTGGAATGTCGGGCTTGCTCGACTGTAGCATTCTCTCTTGTTTAAGATTTGTTCTGCGTTGGAGTTGACGGGCTACTACATAATTGTAATAAATTAAACACGGTAATAGTTAGTGATAAAGTTGTTTCCTATTTAAATACAGCTCTATTTTAAATTATATACGCTTATTTTTAACGTGAACTTTATTACATATACATACAAACATTTTAAATTTGTTAATCTTCACTAAGTTAATTTGATTTATTTAATATTAGATTACAGTTAAAACTCGCATGTAAAAGGTTTTAATAGCTATGAGTGATACAAAATATAAATTTCTGATTTGCGCCGTTCGACAGATGGCACTTATCAAAAATTTATTCAGAGCTGCAGTTTTAAACCAGCGCTTTCGATGATAGCATATTTTTAACGGATGTTAGTTGAATTGCAAAATAGTAAATTTTATTTAAAAAGTAAATACTAGTTGAAATACCGCAAGCGGCACTGCTGAGGTGGCGACGTTATCGATAATGGTATTTTCACACCACTGTCCTCTCATCGAGTACAAGCATTTGCATAGCTTGCGTAAAATATACTCGATACTCAGTCTCTTAATCGGTGGCCGACGGGTCGGTTTGTTTTATTTTCTTGCTTTTGTTATTGTAAAATGTGAAGACTGAAGTGCATATCAAGCTGTAATATTCTTCGCCTAATCCCGGTGTAATAATTGCCGTTCGCTTTTCACTACATTTTACGTGTTACAAGGTATATTTCGGTTGCGGCTTTGAAATGTTTTTTTGTGTTTTTCATTGCCACTACCTGCGTGTGTATGAGTGAGTGAGTTCTTGCCTGTGTGTATGTATGTGTACATGATTCAATGGAACAACATACATACAATTGTACATAATATATTTAGCGTTTCGTCAAACGGAACACAAACCAAGTTTGAAAATTTTAATGTAAACAGCGAGAAGAGGAAGCTGAAATTGTCTATAGATAAAATAGAAGTGCAGCCGATGATGAGAAACAGAACAAGAGGGACGGCAAAGGAGGTAAGGAACGATTTCAGTATTATTGTTGCTCCCTCTTTCTTATCATCGCTGCTGACACATACACAAGCGCATACAGGCATGCATGTGTATTTTTATGTATGTATGTACATCTTCCTGATTTGCTTGAATTCAAAGTACAAACCACACACATGCATATGTATGCATGTACATACATACATACGCACACACAGCCGCAATTTACATCCCGCCTACGTAAAGTTGTGCGGGCAATGAAAGGCCATGCAATGGAGGAAGTGGCAGTGCAAGCACGGCCTGCAGTTCCAATGCCTACAAATCGTTTAATTACTTAATCATCGTATTCCTGCAAATGATATAGATTTGTAATAGAATGTTTCGAACAGCTGTTACCAGAGAAACTCTTTACTATAAACATACAGTACTCAAAATACGTTCACATGTCTCCGTCTGTATGTTTCAATAAGTATTGCTCTCACAATTATCGCATTAAAGCTTTGCAGCTTTCTTTTGAGGGACACAGATATTATAGATATTGTTTAATGTTAATAGTTGTTTGGTTTTTTAGTAAAAACATTGAAGCCAAATTGAACATTGAGAATGTTGTTGGTGGCCAAAAATTATTTCTAATGTAGAATTGATTGAGCGAAGGGTTGTAAGATTTCCACGAAATTTGTGGCGCATGACAATGTAGAAATAAAGTGCTTGTTGTAAGATACAATGAACGGTATTTAGCTTCAGCTCAGACTAATTAGATTAGATTATTATTAGATTCAATTTGACCGCTCCTTTAATATGCTCATTTATTTTGGAAAACATTAATGCGAAAAGTTTGAGGTTTACTTTTAACAAAGTTCGAAGTGTTTTGGTCGCCTTTCTTTCTTCTTCCTGTCGGGGTTCCAGTGTCAGTCCCCGTCACCCGCCTACTGGCAATCGTTGTCAACTTAACACAGATCCGCCTTTGAGACTCTTAAATGCTAAGGTAGTAGGACCATAATCCCTAAAGCCTGCTTAGCAATCGAAAAGTAATGTGGGGCCGTCTGCTACTTCGACGCAAATTTGTGCGGCAGGGCACACTTAACGGTAAGTAAAGGTAGAGGCAGTGGCGCTGTATGAAAATACGAGCAATTGGGGAGACAAATAATCGGACAGTGAACGAGAAAAGGCGTGCATATACCTGTGTGTGTGTGTGTGTGCCGCCCGGGTCTGGGGTGTTGTTGCATGTGAAATATGAACACGAAAATAGCATGAGAATGTTCAGGGTGCCGCTCGTACACATACATATGTACACTCAGTCTTTCATACATACATACATATCATGTGCATATGTAAGTGTATGTCTGAGCATAAGCCCAGACGCAGGCGACCAGCAGAAGCAATAAAAATTAAAAAGCAAACAACGATAAGCGACCCCATCCTCGGCCCATAGACCGCCCTGACTAAGTCATATGCGTGTGGAATTCTCAGAGTGTGTGTGTGTGTGTATGTGTTGTGCCACATGGCAACCCTCTGCGCTCGAATTACTGTATCGGTGGCGGTCGGCGCACTTAAACCCAAACAAATGCAAATGCGCACGATAATTAATGCAGATGTTGTAATTGATGCGTCCCTGGCACGGCACAGCAGCAACAAAATCAATGATGTCGTCGCCTCCAATGACGCGTGCGCCTGCTTGAGAAGCAGCCCTAGCACCTGTTCTGGCTACTGCTATCGAAACCTCAAACTTTACCAGACTTTAATGAAATTTACTCAATTTAAAAGCAATTTTCTATGTTGCTGAGCACTTAGAGCAGTTCAGTTACGGGTATGGCGGAGGGGTGAAGGGGCAGAGCGGATTGCATTTGTCGGCTAATGCGCTTATACCCCAATTGCTGTTTGCTGACTGGCCAGTCATTGAACGCGACGCCTGGCGACCACCTGCTGGGCCGCATGGGCATGGTCTGTCATGCCACACGCGACCTCCGACCTACCACCCATCACCCATTTTCCCGCATACGTTTTCCTTTGCGTGAGTGTGCAGAAAGCGTAAAGTTGCTTGGGCTGGCAAATTCAATTCAAATGCTCATTAATTTGTGGATGTTGGTTGACTTTGAGTTGCTCGATGGCGATATTTTCAGCTACCCTCTTTCGAACTAATTTGGGTTTGATTGGGGCTGCTGTCATATCCAAAAATACCTATGGATATACCCTGATGTTTGATGGACAGCACAAGCTTGTCAGATATGCCGTAATTGGAATTGAGTGACACTCACAGTACCTGAATCCCCAGCCCTGCTCGCCCTTCGCCATCCATAGACAATCGCATTGCTTTGTTCTTGACTGCTTCTTGTGCCCTACTCTGTTATGTGGTCTCAAGTTTTAAGTTTCGCTTCCTTATATATTTGCCATTTAGCAAGTTCAACGCCTGTGGTTTCCATTACCTCGGGGTATTTATATATATCCATATATGTACTATATGTATTTATTTAGTTTATTTATGTACGGGTGTGTATGTACAGATGCCTGTTTGTAGGTTGCCAACACGCCACGCCTTGTCATCGGAGTGTTTACTTGGAGTTGTGTTTCTTTTGTTTATCGCACTGCAATATTCGCGGTTAGGTATCTAATCTTTGACTTAGACTACACATTACATTTATACTAAATATATAAGTATGTATGTGCAAATGTATAGGCATTTAAAATTGACGAAATGAAAATATAAGTACATATTTAACTTTTTTAACAATTTAAACAACCGTGTAAAAAAAATACATTGATCATATGCAAAAATAGGGGATTGGATCTCTAAAGAAATATATATGCAATTTTTGATTTTAATCCGTGTTATATTAAAATCGGGTAAAAAGACCGTGTAAAAAAAGAATTGGGTGTAATCGAAAAAGTGTTATTGAATTCATCATATTAATTTGGATTACTTTAAGACAACATTCAATTAACTTGAAACCCAAATAGAGAAAAGTAGAAAACAATAATTAATTTTAGTTTCCCTGGCCTGAAAAAGTCATTTAAAGATTTAACATTCGCATAACTCGAAACATTATTTAATACCCCTTTGCTGAAGTGGCAACTTTAGAAGTAATGGACAGTTTTAATTTATGTTTTTTAACTATTGTTCATATCGTATAATTTGAGTTATATGCTCTTATTCATTCATTAATACTCTGTATACGACTCTTGTGTCTATCTAATTGCCAATGTCCAGCTGAGCAAACAAACTTTGCAGCTCTTTCCATGGCAAATTAATGCCGCTTACATTTCATTTGAGGTTCCCATTTCTGGCTCCAGGTCACGAACAAAGAAAAAGTTGCAACGGAAGCTGTTTGAGGCAGTCTCAGTGACCATCAGCGGTGCCCCAGTCTTCTTTTCGGCCACATAAAAATAGAAAGAGAGAGAGAGAGAGGCAGAGAAGAGTAAACAAACAAAGCGGAATTCGCAATGAAATCAGCATAATTTTAGCCGGTGGCACATTTGGGGCCGAAAAAGTCGGTCAACGAACCGAAACTTTTTGTTTAAAGCCCATTGTGTACATTTAATGTTTAAATGTGTGAGTGCGTGTGTGAGTTTGTTTGTCCGCATATGCACTTTGTTTACAACAATAAAATAAACCAGCACTGTGCACTTTTATTCCTATAAATGTACATATATACTTACAAGTATGTGTTGTACATACATATTTATTAACAGCTCGTTCTCGTTGTCCCCCATTTCGGTTTCAATTAATAATGACTGTAACAAAAAACTTGATAATAAAAAAAACAAAGAAACATGATCGAACTCTATAGGTGGGTAACTCGACTATGAGATACGCTGTATCGCATATGGGTTATTGCTATAACAGTATAAACGATCGAATTCCTCTAGCTACAGGGTGCGCAATCTTTTATGTCGGTATGTAAACATTGAATATCTTTGAAAATAAACAACCGATTTTCAAGTATGAGATATTTTTATTTAATTTGGTACTTTACAATTTCTTGAACTGAGGTTTTCAACACTGGTCTACTCAAGTCAATCGGTTCACTAATGACAAAGTTATTCAATATTTACATACCGACATAAAAGATGGCGCACCCTGTACATGATTAAGAATTTCAAACAATAGCTTATAACAACTATGCTGAATAATTTGATTTCAGGCAGTTAAGTTTATATAGCAAGCTAGTATCTTATAAGTTTTCTTTAATAATTTTTTTTGTATATTTCAAGAACATTTAGCAAATTCGAAGTAAATATTAAAGGCGCCGTTCTTAAACACTAGAGTTTTTTTAGTCAGATAATTAATGCGTTCTAATAATTGTCAGAAATACAAAATGCTTCTATACCCTTTGGGTACAGGGTAGATACAGCTGAACTAGAATTCGTTCGTTTCCCCCGTGCAGCTGACCGACCGTTTCATTTAGTGTTGTATTGCCATAAAGGGAAGCTCGGCCCGGCACAAAGGCGATAACAACAATAACCACTATGGCTTCCACACAAATATGGCTAACCGATCCGATTCTTTGGCCCTCGTTTGCACGGCGTGGGCGTTGAGCGTCCGAATCTCTCACACAAGCCATATGACGCAATTCCATTTGTTTACAACGTATTTAACCTGTTGGATATTTGAAAATTCCCTGGCTGCGACCGAATTAAAGTGAGGCACTCTGGGCACAGTCTTGTGCATAATATAATATATAGTATATCTATATACACATCTACTTTTCTAGGTATATAGTGTAGGTAGATATATATATATATATATATATGTACATACATATGTATGTGCAAATTCTCATTAGGTTGGGTGCGCTAATGACTACCTGGCCTGATAACAGGCGAAATGTTCGAGTACTTTTGGTGCGCGACATTTAAAAAGCCTCGGGCAGGCAGCCTAATTAGCACATTCAACACCCAGGTATCCATCCACTAATTCATATAATCATCCTCCGTGCGCATTTCGTATTCACGGGTTTTCCAATCATTTTCAGGCAGTCAAATTGATGATAGCCAGCCTAACGCCCGCTTTCTGACTGTTGCGGCCGACATCATAAATATTTTAATGCCGCCGACATTGCGCACATTTGTACATTTGCACTTGGCCAACATTTTCGGCTAGTTGCCAGCAGAAAATTGTGAATACAAATATATATATGCATGTATATATCTTCGGTACATCTCGTGTAGGTGTCCGTACATATAGAACGTACGATTTGCTTTCTTAATGGAATTGGCAAAACCGATCGCTTTAAGATTTCTCATTACATTGAATCAGTCCCAACACTGGAATAAACTAATAAGTACCAAATATTGTTACACTATGCTAATTAACAAAGCTTGTACCTGTAACAGCTAGATGAAATAATTAGGCGGTATATACATATATGATTTTATATAACTCGATCAGCATATGGATGAGTCGACATGGAAAGTTTGGTGGCTCTAGAAATATGGACAGAAGGTTACCATAAAGTTCGATGTTTATGTTGTTTATTATCGCCTCCTGCCAGTTATACGAATATACATATATTCGGCCTTCTTATACTTGTATAGCCATTCAACCTTCGGGTACAGGATATTAATGACATAACGTTAGGGACCTGAATATTGTTGCTATTCTGCACATATTATACACACATGCATAAATATAACTTTATGTACTTGCAATTCAAAAGTAAAACAGCAAACGTGCCATTTATATTTCGAGTGAAACAATTGCACAGAGCTGACGACATCATTGGTGGACGTGTCAACACGCCACGCTGGTCGCCAAATATCGGACTATCCACGAGTATTTCACTTACTGAAAGAACTTTTGCCTGTACGAGTATGTACCCAAGTGTAGGTGTCGAATCGATAGATTTCCACTGTTACTGATGGTATGTAAAAAAAAACACTTTAAAGATTAAAAACTTATCTTTTAAACCAGAAGGCAATGTGCAGAACAATACTTACTCTTTGTTTTAAATTGTAGTATTTGTCCAGTTTAAAACAAGATGGAATTCAATATAGTTGCTTATGTAGAATTTCTATGGGCTTTTCCAACATTTTTTACTGCTGAAACTCATACTGATACTGTCTCATATTATTCATAGATTTGGAAATGGGTCGATATAGCCGAGCCCGTCCTTATGAAAGAAAATATATCGGAAATCCTAAAATCGTTCTTTTAAACCTGCAAGTTTTATTTTACCGATCCATTCACAACTTATTCGCTCTATTATTATAAAATACATATTGCAATTTGGCATTACATTATTGTTATTTATCTGTGAGACTTAATCTCATTTCGATTGGGCAATTGTACATATGTATGTAGAAACGGGTGTATTGGCCATATTCTGATTTGAACGTTATTTAAAAAATAAATAATAAACATATTGTAAATAGAATGAAGCTACATTTGATGCCAATGCTGAATATGCAATATTATATAACATGGACGATGTGGTAATTCCTTCTGACCTAAGGTATTATGCCCGTTGAAATGGTAAACATAAAACATAAGACAATAGCCACATATTATTGATTCAACCCAGTTTAGAAATGTCCGACTAATTGCTAGTTAAAAGCGAAACGCAAAGAAGGTTAAAAATGCAGTGGAAAGACAGCACACATCGCATACCTATGTACATACATACTTGTATATCTACAGTTCACTTGAAAGCGTTTAAGCCAATTACATGGCACATCAATCATAACAACAGACGATGGCAAAGCGTGTGTTTATGAACTCCAATGTGTGATTGTGTTTTATTTACTACTAGTTAACAATTGGCCGATGGCCAACGAAACAGAGGCGAGAGACGGAAAGGTACTTAGGGCCTGGAAATTAGTCATCTCCACTTGTCGATTGCAAGTGCAAGACAAACCCACGGCGTTCAAACATGCGCGCACGGCCTTAACAATCTCTCCGACTTGTATACTTGTCTGTAAGGCAGAAAAGAGTGGTAAATAAAATAGAACAACAACAAATGCAAAGTAAACAAATAAAAATTTAAAGAAAAAAAAAACGAAAATTCCGCATTACTAGTATATGTAGTTGTGTATAGTTGTAATGGGCCCGGCCCACTTGCCCCTCCCAATGCCATGCCAACCGTCCATACATATACATACATACAATCATGTGCTTGTGTGTTTGTGTGAGCGGAAGAGGCAGCCAAAATGGGCCATGAACAGGCCAGGCCAGTCGTTAGCACTTTTAATAACCGCTTATTCTCTCTCTCTCTCTTACCCTTCATTTGCAGCACTAAACAACGTCAATCAAGCACATCCAACTTCAGATCCATCCAAAAGAAACAAAACGCAACGGAAAACGTCTAAGCCATAAACTGAAACATCATCAAGTAGACCTAACGAGTCACTCCTCCACATAAGCCAATTTATCGAATAAACAAAGCAAGTCAACCGAGCAAGTAGTAGGGCTGACCCCAAACACAAACACACATACAATCGAACACCCGCCTCCACATACGAACCCACACACACACACATACACCAACAACTACAACTACATAACATATAACAGGACGGCACCATGGAGTTCGGCCATGTTTGAGCGCTTTCGTTTGAGCAACCTTAGCAGAAACTTCCGACTTCGCCGAGGCTCCACAGAACTGGCGCGCGATAAGAAACAGCAACGGCAGCAATGCGTCACCGTCTTGTTCCTAGATGACATCACGCACACCTTTCGGATCGAGGTAAGCACTGGAATGAGGTACAATACGCACTCGCCTCTAAGAGCTCTGTCCAATAAGAGATATTCTTGCATATGAGGATTTCTAACAAATAAAGCAAATGTAATTACATATTATTATAGAATAATTGCCACGTAATTTAAACATTTCTTCTACAAGGTGGGTCCAAAGTAAACAGGACTTTTAAAAAAAAAACAACAAATGGTTTTTTCGGCAAAATCAATTTATTTTATTCAAAATAGTCTCCTTCTGCTTCAATACAGCTTTTTGCACGATCCAAAACCATGTCGAACGATTGTATTAGCTCGTTGGCCGGTATGGCCGCCAGTATGCCGGTACAAGCGCTTTGAATGGCCTCTACGTCTGCATAACGCTTTCCTTTCATTGGCAAATGCATTTTTCCGAAAGGGTAGAAGTCGCACGGTGCCATATCAGGTGAATACGGCGAGTGGTTAATGGTTAAAATGTGATTTTTGGTCAAATAATCGGTCACAAGCGCCGATCGATGAGAGCAATTTTTGGTCGTCAGTCAATTTGTGCGGAACAAACCGTGCACACACGTTTCGTAAGCCCAAATGTTCGGTCGAAATGCGGTAAATCGATGTTTTGGAGATGTTCAATTCCATTTCCATCAATTTCAATGATGATTTCGGCTGATTTTTGATGAATTCACGCACAGTTTCGATGTAATTTTCGGTGATCACGAATTTTGATTGGCCCACACGTTGATCGTCATTTAGGTCCTCACGACCACTTTGAAAACGTTGAAACCACTCGTGCACTCTGCTACGGGATAGACAATCATCGCCATAAACTTGTTCCATCAATTGAAACGTTTCGGTAAAAGTTTTACCTATTTTAAAACAAAATTTAATGTTGGCTCTTTGTTCGAAGCTCATTTTCGCACCGATAACACAAACATACTGACACTTAACGCAATAACTCCACTTCCAATCGATGAAATGTCATGAAATTCTCACTGGACAATCGATAAAGATAGCAGATTCTAACGCACTCTAACGACTTATAGATAGCGCCACCAGGGGGCGCTAGATTCAAAAAGTCCTGTTTACTTTGGAAAGCACCTTGTATAATTCTAAGCTACACCAATGCAAGGTAGTCCATGGTTCTTTAAAAAGTAAGGCGGACTAACTGCCCTTAAAATGTTGGCATATCTGTACGCAGAGAAGACCCCTATGATTAACCCGATATCATTTTAGCCATCCGTTAAATTGGTTATCTATGGGAATTCAAAGGGATTGTTGGCCGCTGCCAACACTTTCATTACTTGGTGCAACCAAAACTCATTGCTTCTTGCCAAGTCTCCTCCAAGGTGGTACTTGGCCGCTGTCTGCTCCTCATAACCAAGCTCAGCTGAGTGTTGCGTCTGCATAACTATAATCGAATTAATGAATACATATGTATGCGCATAATAATTTTATGCTAACCACACACAAATTGCAAGAAACGAAACGTGGCTAAAACAAATCCGTAGAAAGTCGCTCGTTCGCAGATCGGTTTTCGTTTTTGGTTTGTCTTCCATTGGAAAGGAAAAGTACATCACTTTCATCTTTGGAGTGCTTGCGTTTCGCAAGGCAGCGACTAGATAGGCAGACAGACAGAAAGATAGTCGGTCGAAATGACTAACGAGCGACACGCACTTCTCAAAGCCCCATTGTTTTTACAATATGTATAAAGCTAATTTTTCTTTCTGTATTCCACCTGCCAGTCTTGAGTAAATGAGCTTGCCCTGATTTCTGACTGAATTAACGTCATTTGTTGTCATCGCGTATGCTAGCACAGACATTTAACCAAATACCGTTTCACTGTGAGAATGCCGCCGACCATTAACCCGATTAACTCACATTAAACGTATTTAACTTCCGCTTTATTAGGAGCATTAGTCTTCATTTTGCAACTTATGAGGTTTCTCTGAACTATAGCGATATACTATCAAGATCATTATAAAGGGAATTAATTTCATTTTATCCGAAGGTGTTTCTTGAATTGTTATTGACCCTCTGGTGTGTATTTTCAGAAACGTGCTAAGGGATCTGAGCTCTTGGATCAGGTCTTTCAATATCTCGAACTATCCGAAAGGGATTATTTTGGGCTATTATTTCCACAGAAACCCGGTGATGTTGTCGTAAGTGCTTAATCATGATGAAGTGGAACTTGCTCGCTTTAATAATTCGATGGCGTCTTCTTTCAGAGATGGGTCGATGCCCAGAAGCAGTTCAAAAAGCAATGCAGCAGCGTCTCACTGGACAACGATGCCGTTCCATTATTAGAGTTTAGGGTTAAGGTGTGTATTGATGGTTGGTAGTCCCCAACAATGTCCCACAACCTAATCAACTGTCAATTGGTTCTCAGTTCTATGTAAGTGATCCCAGCAGATTGCAGGAGGAGTTCACACGCTACCAGTTCTACCTGCAAATCAAGCGAAATATTTTTATGGGAAAACTGCCATGCTCCAGCAACACCCAGTGCCTGCTTGCCAGCTACACGGTGCAATGTGAGTGAGGTTTGTAGACCTAATCGGTCGTCTGTTAATCTCTCCCCTTCCCCACACTTTTAGCTGAATTGGGAGACTTCAATGCGAGTGACCATCAGCCCGGTTATTTAAGTGGAATGCAGCTACTGGTCGAGCAGACAGCCGAGACCGAGCGAAAGATTTGCGAGCTTCATAAGCTGCATCGTGGCCAACTGCCTGCAGATGCCGAATACAATTATCTGGAGCACGCCAAGCGTCTTGATCTGTATGGCATAGATCTCCACAAGGCCACCGATTCGAATGGCATAGAATTGCAGTTGGGTGTCTCGGCTGTCGGTCTGCTGGTCTTCCAACACGGGCTGCGCGTGAACACCTTCTCCTGGTCCAAAATGGTGAAGGTGTCATTCAAGCGAAAGGACTTCTTCATTCAGCTGCGCCGTGAGCCGAGCGAGAATTATGATACATTGCTTGGCTTTGGGATGATTTCGCATAAGCATGCGAAGGCATTGTGGAAATCCTGCGTGGAGCATCATTCGTTTTTTCGACTGAAACGACCGCATCGTCTTTCGCGCTTCCTTAACATCCGTCTGGGTTCAAAGTTTTATTATTCGGGCCGTACGGAGCTGCAGGCAGTGCAGGAGTCGAAACAGCGCACTCGCATCCACAAAGTTTTCGTGCGCTCACCCAGCAAGCGGTTGCTGGCTAGTGGCTCTGCCGGTGGAACACCGCTGCTAAACGGAGGCAGTGGTTCCGACACCACTGGCAATGGCAGCGTATCACACAATGGCAAGACCACCGCATCTATACTGACCATCACAAAAACGAGCCGTCCCCACGACAACAAAGTCACGTCCAAAGAGGCCGAGTCGATGCCCCGCAAGGCCTGGGAGCAACAGAGCGACGAGTACGATATTCAGCTGTGAGTAGCGACAGTAACCTCTTTAAACCTCTCTGGTTGAACATGTTTAGCATATACTCTGTAATATTACATTAGACTAATGTTTTGTAATCTCTTTTATAATATCTGCACAGTGATGTCGGTTTAATTGAGCAGTGCACGCGCCGTTTCGAATCGTCACCCATACCGCCAGCTTACAGCTCCGGCCAACACAGTCCATTGCTGTTGCCGACAACCATTGCGGATGCGGTACAGGCGCCTGATAGTGGTAGCGACCTAATCACGATACGGCTGCTGGCAGATGAACAGGGACGCTTTGGGTTCAACGTCAAAGGTGGAGTGGACCTGAGTCTGCCAGTGCAAGTTTCCAAAGTGGTGCCGCACACGCCCGCCGACCGCTGCACGCCGCGCGTTTGCGAAGGTGATGAGGTGGTCATGATCAATGGTCGCGATGTTCACGGCCTCAGACACGAGCAGGTGGTGACTATGATACGTGAATGTCGCCATCAGGCCAACGGCGAGCTGCTGCTCACAGTCAGGCCGCATCTTACAACGCCGCTCCTCGAAGAGGAGCCACTGTACCAGTATGTGCCGGAGAGCGATGAGATTGGATCACACTCAAATCTGCTGGATGGTGATGCGTTGTTCACGCAAAGTCTGCTCCTTCTCAGCGATGGGCTAGCTTCAGGAGCCCTGCTGGCCCAGTACGAACTAATGTACCGCAAAAACCCGGATTTGGCCATCACGGAGGCTCGCAAGCCGGCTAATGCTGCCAAAAATCGTTACCGCGATATCTCCCCATGTAAGTGCGAAAGACAAGCCTAAACTAGCAACCACGTCTTAATTATTTTGCATTCTTCATATTTCTTGTTACATTTTAGACGACTGCACCCGAGTTTCGCTTGTTAATTCCCTGACCGGCGACTACATCAATGCCAACTACGTGAACATGGAGATACCTGGTGGTGCGGTAAATCGCTATATAGCCACCCAAGGACCTTTGGCAAGCACAACGACTGACTTTTGGCGCATGGTGCAGCAGGAGAGCAGTCATCTATTGGTCATGCTGACAACGGTTATGGAGGCCGGCCGGCAAAAATGTCACCAATACTGGCCCGTAACCGGCGACGAACTGCAATTGTCCGAGGGCTTCTCCGTACGCTGTCTTAACGAGAAGCCTGATGAGACCGGCAGCTTCGTTTTTCGCGAGTTTGTGCTTAGCGATCGTCGCACAGGCGAGCAGCGTCACATTCAGCATATGCAATATCTTGCGTGGCCTGATCATTGCGTGCCCTCCGATCCCAATCTGTTCCTGGAATTTACGGAACGCGTGCGTGCAGCGCGCAATCGCACATTGCTGCAGGAGATCGAGGAGAGTTTGAAGCAGGTGCGGCTTCTGGATGCCGATGCCGATGAGAATGGCGGTCTGATGAGTGAGCGAAAGTGTGCGGCAAGCAATGGTGCAACGCCAGAAGATGAAACTCCAGTCTCGACTAGTGTGCACCAGTAAGTAGTGATTCATAATGTGGCCCATAACCTCAGTGGTAAATGTTTAATTCCGCTTCACAGATGCATCAGTGCCGCCAATCCGCCAGTCATTGTGCATTGTTCCGCGGGCATCGGACGCACTGGAGTGCTGATACTCATGGACACGGCGTTGGCGTTGATGGAGGCACGCGAGCCTGTCTATCCCCTAGACATTGTGCGAACGATGCGCGACCAGCGCGCTTGTATGGTGCAGAATGTGGTAAGTGCACAAATATTGGTTCCAGTCGGAAAATACAAAATTTTTATTTCCTTCTTTCTCCGTTTGTAGAGCCAGTATCGTTTTGTATGCGAGTGCATATGCGCCGCCTATATGAAAATATCGCGCAGCAGTGCGGCCATCAATGACGATGAAGATTAGCAGGGCTTTTGAAGAGGTGCGCGGAAAAATGCCAAAATTCCAGCTGCCCAATTGTATTCAGAATTTAAATCTACTCTAAGCGCGCATAAATAGAGCCCAGTTTAAAAACCCACGGAAACAATCTTACAAATAATTGCTAATTTTTGTAGAGAAACCAGTCTCCTCTCTTCAAGCGGAAAGCTAAGCCCCTTTATGCATAGCACCGACTATGTCTTTGTCTTCAATCTTTAACAATTACAACACGTACATCATCTATCTTATTGTTAGAATGTAGAACTATTATATTACTTATTTGTATCTATATGTATGTATTATTCTTATTGTATATCTATTCTCTTCCAAATGGGAAATTACACGCAAGTGCTGCTGAAATTCAAAGAAAATCAATTCTAAATTTTAAAAACAAATTGCGAAAAAAAGGACAAAACAATCTACCTAATCGATGTATACAAAACGAAATGAATAAGACAAATGGCCTATTTATTTCCATTTTATCACAAACTTACATATAAATATAATATAATACAAACCACACAAAGTGAACATTGAGAACAATACACAGAAAACAAGAGTACATAGAACGTAACAAAAAAAAAAAAAAAAAAAAAAACAATCGAGAAGAGAAATGAAAACTGTTAGTATTTTAGCACCAAATAAATTCATAAATGTATTTATGCTAAAAAAGCAATAATAAATAAATATGTATTACAAAATCAAAGGAGAGTTTCTAAATCTATCACATGATCTTAAACTCCTCTTTAAAAAATAAAAGCTGCAGTCATTTTTGGAAAAGTCAGCTTTATTTCGAGTGTGTGATTTATTTGACCGATGACCCTACATCTTTATATGACTTACTACATTAGTAGGCGTTGAAAGGAACATCGTTAGATATTTCCCTTTTCAGAAACATAAAAGACTTATCGTTGAAGTGGAAAACAGCTTTCGGAAAAAAATATTAAGTACAAATTGGAAGTGAAACAAAATTAAAGTAATGGCGGATGAAATGGAGGTAGAAGAAAGCGAAGATTTCCATGACATCGAGGAGTTCAATACAAACGACGAAGACGCATCTAGCAGCCAAGCCAAGGAGGAGCGATTTGTGGTGAAAAAGTGGGTTGCACATGCCCTGTGGTCATGGGATGTGGCTGTCGACAACTGCGCCATCTGTCGCAATCACATCATGAATCTGTGCATCGAGTGCCAGGCGGATCCTAACGCCAACAAGGACGAATGCACAGTGGCCTGGGGAGAGTGTAATCACGCCTTTCACTATCACTGCATTGCCCGTTGGCTGAAGACGCGTCTTGTGTGTCCACTGGATAACAAAGAGTGGGTCTACCAGAAATACGGTCACTAGAGCCCACCGATGTCGAAGAATTCATTCCCTCCTTGCAACAATTGTGACAATATTTGAACATACTAAAGTAAATTATATTTGCATTTGGGAGAAGATAACATTAAATGGTTTTAATATGGAGAGCTCTTTAGGCCTGCATCTCTGCGTCCGGTTTTACTCCCAGCAGCTGCTCTGCCGTGGGTCTGACCCCTGTTATCTGCTCGATTTGAGTGTAGAGCGAGTCGCGCTCTTCGACTAGGCTGGCATACTTCTGTTGTAATTCTTTTTCTCGATCCATTTGGCGGCGCACGTCTTCTTGAAGCGACTGCAAAAAAGAGTGAAACAAATTGTACGGATGAATGTATTTGGCCATTGAGGACACTTACCTCCAAGCGACGTGGTACTGCGATGGCTTCCTGTTCTCCCAGAAAGCGGAATGTGGAGAGAGACAGTGAATTCTGTTCGATTTGGGCATACGTATCCTGTAGCTGCTTGATCAGCGCCTGTGCTCGCGCTTGATAGCCGCCTGTGAGGATCTTCAGCTTCTTCTCAATTTTGCCACAGCGCTTGGCTTCCTTGGCCATGTGGCGACGATTCTGCTCCAAACGTTTCTCGGCCGACTCCAGTCGGTCCTTCTTGCTGGCCAAGTTGGCACGCGTGTACCGATGCTGTGAGGGTAAGTACAGAACTTGGCCAAGGCATTCTTGCCACACCTGGCCGTAAACATCGAGTGGCAGCTCACCATGCGACATACCCTCCTTTACCAGCTCCATTTCGGCGTTCAGCATTTCCTTGGCTTTGGCCAGCTCCTGTTTGGAAATTTCCTCGTACGGGTTCGCCTTGAAGTAGCTCTGTAGTTGATCCATTTTGTGCTGTGATTGGCCGGGAACCGGGTCCTTCACTGAATCGTACAGCAACATTGTGATCATTTCATGCTTGATCAACTCCTCTGCCTGCTGTTGCTCTGTGAGATTTTGCTTCTCCGACTGGGGCCGCAGTATCTTGGTGTTGACCTCGGTGGGTCGGGGCAGGCTGCGTTGAATGACCTGAGAGCGTTTCTCCAACTCACATTTTCGCTTTGCTTCCTGTTCAGCGAGCAGTCGTGCATCCACGTCCGCCTGATCCTCGACGACGGGCTCGGCATCAGTCTCCATAGCCTCGCTGTCCTCCTGATCGGGCACCACAATCTCGTAATCATTTCGCGGTGCCGGTAGTGTGGCCAAGCCTTCGCGCAGTGTTGACTTGACCTGCCTTTGAAAATTCTTGTAGAGTGCGGGCGTCTCTGTAACGCTCATGTTCTCCTCTGGATTAATGCTCAGCTTATCGCGAACTAGTGCTGGTGTTGGAGCTCCAGGGATTGACTTACCGCCTACAGGCACCAACGCGCCGGAGGAGGGGGTGAGAAAACTGCCAGGTGTGGACGATTCGGCACCACCTCTTTGAGTGCGAAACGGCGTCGCTATGACTGTGTTGGGTGTTGCAATGGCCGCCGCCTTGGGAAGCACACCCGAGAAGTCTGATTCATGCAGTGGCGTGTTCAGGCCGCCCTTCAGTGGTGTCTCTGTGTGCGTCAGCGCCATCATGTTCTGCGCCTCTTGCATTATGCGATCCGTGTATGGTGCTGGAGTGCGCGGTGTGGCTGCCACCTGCGGAGTTATAGTGTAGTCTGCAAGAAGGGCATCTGTCGTCTCAATACCGCTCTCGCCGGCAATCTCCTTTGCTGTTTCGCTAGCACGGCCCAATTTGACAACTTGCTGCAGCTCCATATCGGATATTTGGGGCGTGGGCAGGACGAGCTTGGAGCGCTTACGCTCCGGTTCCATATTTTGCAGCATGGCGGTGGGCACTTCATTTTCTTTGCGCTGCTTCAGCTTCTGCTTGTCCTTCTTACGTTCGCGCTCCTCCTTCTCGGAGCGCAATTCCCCATCCAGATCTTGCTGTCGCATTTTATTGAAATCAGGTTCGTTCTTTTGTATTACTTCCTCAGAAGTGTCGTAGAAGCCCGAAGCAGGTCGCTTTTCAAAGGGAATTTCGGCATTATAGTCGATGCCCTTAATGCGTTTCCGATTGCCGCTACCAATTCCGGCAGCGCGCAGTTCACGGCGCTTTTGCAATGTGGCAAGCCGGCGCGCCTCTTCAAGCTGCTTTTCGCGTGCTTTCCTCTTCGCCTTTTTGCCCTGCGTGTTGGCCAGACGCGCGCGTGCCTCCGAAAGCATCTCTAGTTCATCCTCGTCCATGTCTTTGGGATCCGGTCGTGCCGGTTTTGTTTCGGGATTGGGGTCAATTTCTCCCGGCTTCAATTTGCGTGGGTCGTCCATTGTGTCTTCGCCATCTTCTTTACGTTGCGCCTGGTCTCTGCAATGGCAAAAATATGCATTATTACATGTGGGCGATAATTTTAACATGGGCCCACTAACAGTAAATATTCGTAGCGCTCTAGGCACTGCGCAGCTGTACGTCCAATGATCGGAGCTATTGTACGCCATTGCGTAGGCATCAGTTTTGCCAAATGAAGCAGCTTCTCGTCTTCCTCGCGCGACCATTCCGTCTTTTTGATGCTGGGATCCAGCCACTCATACCAACGCGCCTTGCACTGCTTTGCCGACTTTCGATGTAGCAGCGAGGCAATACGACTCCATTGATTCTTGCCATATTTCATTACAGCCGCCTTGAGAATCTCATCCTGCCGGCAAGGGAAAGAGCATTAGTGTGGTCGAGAATTACTTTACTCCAAATGACAAACTCACCTCTGTGTTGCGCCAAACGCCGCCCTTTATCATAATTCGCGGCATCTTGCTGATAAGTTTTGTTTAAGCAATAAATAATTAGAAAAATGTGCAGTTTTACTTCGTTGTCGGCCGCGGCCCAGTGATGAACAACTCTTCGATAAAGTGCCGATGTAGCGAAAATCATCGATTACTTTTTACTGGTGTGATAGCAGCACTCTATTTAAATTTACACCTGACTATTTAACGAAGTTGGCAGCTCTGGTCAAAAAAGCGTTGATTTAAAATAGACAAGTTTTTTAATTTTCTCATTTTTATTGGGTTGTATGGTTGTATATCGCCAATGATACATCACTTTTTTGCACGAATTCAGTGACATCTGTGTATTTGTATATATGCAATTTTTTTTTGTTTTTTTTAATTTATTTTTCTTTGCACCGCGCAAATAAATTGTTGTCCGTTCACGTTAGTTACGAGGAAAACGCCATCGCCGATTGTGTGATATTACCATTGGATATTAGCCCTAATTCTGGTTAAAAATTGTGTGATAGATGAGATGTATGTATATGAGCTGGCATTTTCGTTTGCAAAAAAAGTTGTAAATACTGTACTTTAGCAGTGTTGGGAAGTGCAGTCTGGTAGTGGTATATTTTGCACAGTTGAAGATTATGTGCGACGCGTTTTGCACCACTTCACATGCGTCACAAGTGTTGCAGTTTATCACCTTCATTTTGGCTAAAGTGGCTTTATCAAAACAGTGGCCTGAAAAAAGCCTGTTTATTTGTTTACATTCTGCGCTTGAGAGCTCGCCTTTGCGGTGCGGTGTAACCTCTATTTCTGTTGGCTGCGAAGTTCCAGTATTCAGTTTCCCATTGGTTTTGGATTAGTTTGCGGATTGAGTTAATAGCGTTGTTGATTGACCATCTCATTATTATAAATGATCCATTAAAGGGGGCCCCTTTTGCGGCGGCATCTACCAAAGAGTTTTGGGGAATATCTTTATGACCAGGTATGTAGTGGATTTCAACGGAGCGGATTTGATTATTCTCTTTTATTTTCAGTAGGATGGTTTTGGCAATTTAGCTGAATTGAATGGATTTCTGGAGGGCCTGAATGCCGCTGCGGCTGTCTGTAAGGATAGCTATATTTGAATAATTGTGAGATATGGCATGATCTAAGGCTTTGTTTATTGCAATCAGTTCTGCAGTGAGCGATGATGTAATTTTGTTGGTATAGAAACTGTCGATGAATTTGGAGTTATTGTGGAGGAATGCAGCGCTGGAGTGAGTATTAGTTACTAAACCGTCTGTGAAGAAAATATCAAAATTCCGTTTTTGGAGGCCTTCTAGTTTTTCTATGAATAGCTGATGGATTATGTTCGGATTCGCTTGATGTTTGTTTATTGCCGATCCTTTAAAGAAGTTTGTGTCCGTGCAGAGCTTGAAGCAGTGGATATATGTGTTGTCGTGGAGTTGTATATGGTTTAAAATATGTGAAAATTCGTTGTATATTTTTGCATACAAGTAGTTTGTATTGCATGAGGAATTGTGACGTAAATTTTGCTAGCAGGTAAATTGTACGCGAAGACTTTGACCAGTTCGTTGGCTGTTAAGAACTTCATTCTGTATTTTGGAGGCAGTTCTGCTGCTAGATGATAAATGATATTGATTGGAGTTGATTTAATCAACCCCAGTGCTCTTCTTAAGTGGAAGTTCGTGTGTACGGCGATCTTGTCTATTGCTTTTTTCGAGAGGTTACTGAAGGATGAGCATGCGTATTCCAACTTGGATCTTATGTATGTTCTGTAAAAGAGCAGGCCGCGTTTTGGGTTCACCCATCCGTTCAGCAACCTTAGAAAGGCGCATGACTTGTTGGAGTTTGAGATGACTTGAGTTATGTGGGAAATTGGAGCATTGTTTGCTGTAACGAATCTTCCCAAGTATTTTATATGGTGAACTTCTTTCAAAAGTTCTCCTGCGTGTGAAATGTTTAAAAGATGTCTGCGAGAGCTGAAGTGTATAATGCTGGATTTATTTGGGTTGAATGAGAGGTTAATTTTTTTGCATTCCTGTACAAAGGTTGAAATTGAAGGAGAAAGAAGTCGTCAGCGAATTGGAACAAAATGCAGTTTGAATCTGTTATTTTGCGTAGAGGTTGAAAAAAGTTGGACTGAGACATCTGCCTTGACTGACTCCTCTGTTAATTATAGTGCTGCTGTCACCAAGAATTAAAATTCTTTTTTGAAGGAACCCTATGATAATGTGAGGGTTGAAGTTCATTATTTGTAATTTATTGGATAGAATGGAGATATCCACGCAGTCAAAAGCCTTCTGAAGATCGACGCATGCGGCCACCACTTGGTAGCCTTTTTGCTTGTTTATAAGGTCGTTAATGCACTGTGATGTTGAGTGGTTCTTTCGGAAGGCGTAGGATCTTTTAGGGAATAGGTTCAATGAGTGGATGTGATCGTCTATTTGGAACTTTATAAGCCCTTCCAGTGACTTTAGAAGAACGCTGAGTAGGCAAATGGGTCTATAGTTTTTGACTATTGATTGGTCCAGGTTTTTCTTAGGGATTGGTACTATTTTGATTTTTCTCCATTCCTCTGGAATATCACCTTTCAGCCATGTTTTGTTTATAATGTTGAATATATCTTTCTTTTTTCAGAGGGTAGAGATTGGAGAAGTTTGTAGGGCAACCCATCCAGGCGTTTTGCGGATTCTGGATTTTTATTGTTGAGGAAAAAAAGAAAGTCTTAAAAAAGCAGAGGAGTAGGAGGAGTCTCGTTCAGAAGGAGATTTGATGGATCAAACAGTGTAGTGTTGCTTGTGATAACTGGAATGTTTTTCAAAAGCTTAAGGAAGGACTCGTTTTCATCTTTGGAGCAGCTGTTACCAACTTTCTTGATTTGTTTGTAGTTTTTGAGGTTTTTTAGCTTATTCCACATGATCTGTGGAGAATCAGAGAGCTCTTGAAGGAAGTTGTTGAAGTTTTTCTTTTTAAAGATATTTATATGTTTCTCCAGGTTTTTTTCTGCTTCAATAAGTAGTCTGGCGTCGGTGAATTTTTTGGTTAAATACAATTTTTTCCTACAAGCATTTCTTATTTTGAAGAGCTTTTCGGCCTCTGGGTTCCACCATTTTTTTGGGATATATCTATTGTTAGTTGAATGTAGTTTGTTGAGATTGGAGAACTTAATATGTTCAAAGTCCTTTGATAATTTGTTGTATTAATTTCTATGAGTATTGGGAAGTGATTGCTATTTGTTAGTTTGTTATTGGAGGTTTGCCAGGATATGTGCAGATTTGTAGCGTTGGAAAAAGAAAGGTCAAGAAAGGAAAACTGTACTGGGCTATGTGAGTAGGTGGGTGATCCGTCATTTAAGCATTTGAATTTGTTGTCAATCATGGCTCTTTCTATTGTATGACCTTTGGCGTCTGTGGATGGGAACTTCATGGTAGATTTAGCATTAAAGTCTCCTCCTATTATTGATGGATGTGTAAGGGAGGCGCTTATGGCAAACAGTTCTTCTATACCAGTTTTGAAGGTGATGAGATTGGTGGAAGGTGGGGAATAAGCACTGAAAATATTGATATTGTTGGAAAGGTGTAATGTTTGAATTCCTATTGCTTCGATTGAACATTTGAGGCTTAGTAGTTTAAATTTGATATGTTTTTATACCCTGTACCCAAAGGGTACAAAAGGAATGTTTGCAATATTATATGTATTAGAACATTTTAAGACATTAATGATGTAATATTGATAACGTCTAACGATCCTGGAACGTTGAGTAAACAAATGGACCTACAGTCCTGGAAAATTTATTGGTCTATATTTTTCTCGGGGACTGGTACTACCTTGATTTTTATAGCCTGTACCCAAAGGGTGAAAGGCTATACTAGTTTTGTGCGCATGTATGTAACACACAGAAGGAGGCGTGGCAGACCCCACAAAGTATATATATTCTTGATCAGGATGAGAAGACGAGTCGATATAGCCATGTCCGTCTGACTGTATGAGCGCAAGGATCTCAGTAAGTACAAGAGCTAGGATAACCAAAATTGGTATCAAGGTTCCTATAAGCCCTAGGCAGAACGAGTTTGTTTATTTTTTCTGATACACCCCCCCACTCCCCCGCAATTCGTATTTTTTCTTATAACTTCCGTAATTCTCGGAATTTAAAAATCAATTTTGGTAGGTACATCCAGTTAGTACTATGATTCATCATGATAGGTCAATTCTGAAGAAAGTTATAGCCATAAGTAAAATCGCTGCTCATGCGCTGCCTGCAGCTCTGTCGGCAGCGCTGCCCGCAGCTGTTGTTGTTGTTGCTGCTTTGGTTCAACTTTGTGCTGCATACATACACGCATAGGTACGTGATGTAAATGTATGCTGTTTAAACTGAACATAAACATGTATTCTAATTTAATTTAATTAATTATTTTAATTAATTAATTCATTCATTTTTTTAATAATTTAATTTTTTTTTAAATTTTTTTTTTTTTTTAATTTTTCCTTTTTGTGGAAAGTACAGGCTATTTTACTGTCGGACTTGCTCGACTGTAGCGTTCTATCTTGTTTAACATAGATACTGGGTTTCTATTGAAATTGGATAAATAGTAAGTCTTCAAAAAGCAAGGGAGTGGGTGGAGCCTCTCTCAGTCGGGGTTTAGTTGGATTAAACTGTAGAGTGTTGCTTGTGATGTTTTGAATGTTATTTATAAGCTTAAGGACTAGTTATCGTCTTTGTCCAGCTGTTACCCACTTTCTTAGTTTGTCATTTTTGTATGTTTTTTAGTTTGTTCCACAAAATCTGCGGCACAGTTGTTTATGTGCTGTTCCGATTCATTTCCCTACATGCATTTCGTAGTTTAAAAAGTTTTTCCGCCTCTGTATATATATTTTTGATCAGGATGACAAGACGAGTCGATCCGGTCCATCTGTCTGTATTAACACAAGGATCTCAGAAAGTATAAAGCATAGAATAATCAAACTTGGTATCCAGATTCTCCTAATTCCGAGAAAATAGTGATTATCCATAACTCCCGTAGCTCTTAGAATGTCAAACTCTAATTTGGTATTCACAGTAAGTGATAATGTGTCCGTATGCCAAGTTTAATCATGATAAGTCAAATATAAAGAAACTTATACGCATATAAACACGCATACAAACGATTCTGTAATGTAATGTAAATGTATGTTGTAGAAATTGTTACGGGCAGCGCTTGAGCAGCAAATATATTTATGGCTATAACTTCTTGTTAAATCGGTCTATCCTAGGGAAACTTGGCATACAGACACATAATCACTAACAGAGTCACATAATCACCAAGAATTACGAGAAGTACGATTTGATGGGGAGAGGGGGAGGGAGGGAAATTCTAAAATACACATTTTCTGCGTATTCACATATGGCATCTGGGACTAAAATTTGGTGTCCCTAGGTCTTATAGTCTCCGAGATATAGGCGATTATACGAATGGAATATCGGGAAAACCTCCATAGGGGGGAAATTCAAAAAATAAAACAAACTTGCACAGTGTACACATATAACGCATCTTTGTGCAAAATTTGGTGTCTCTAGCTCTTATAGTCTCGGAGATCCAGGTGTTCATACGGACAGACAGACAGGGCTGGATCGAATCGTCTCGTCATGCTGATCAAGAATATATATACTTTGTGGGGTCTGCCACGCCTTCTTCTGCCTGTTACATTTTCAGCTCCCGCAAACCTAATATACTTTTGTACATTTTATGTACAGAGTATAATAAAAATATCTCATACTTGGAAATCGGTTGTTTATTTTCAAGGATATTCAATGTTTGCATACCGACGTAAAAGATGGCGCACCCTGTACACATGTATTTTGTGCGTGAAATTTGTCTGCGCTGCTCTACGCACTTCTCATATTTCATAAACTGATAAAAAAAATGATTTCAATAGTGTGTTTTAGTTGATTTAAAGGCTGCAGACTTCAATTTCAAGTTGAATATTAAAATATTACATTAAAAGTGTGACAATATTAAATGATAAATGATGATGTTTTGGATGTGGGTTTGACTCTCGCCAAAGATTTATTTTTTATAATTATAAAAATTTCTCCCACTTTTTTTCTACTCTATTGTATTTAATTCATTTCAATAATTGATATACATATGTATATTTTGTATAGAACCATTTTTAGCGGAAAGTAATTTTCAAATTCTTTTGATTATTAATTCTTATCAATTATTATTAATTATCTTGAAATTTCTATATTAAAATTAAATATGGTTCAACATTA